GATCAAATATTAAATTAAAATAATATTAAAAAAGAAACTTTAATAAAATAAGCAGTATAATTTTAAAGAAGGTATTAAATGGGTTTTTTTATTAAAATACCAAGAATAAAAATAAAAATGAATAATAAAACAAAACTTCACTTGCTAACATATAAAAATATTACAAACTTATAAAATACATTTACTTGTATACCAAATATTTTTACTTTAATAAAAAATCTATAAACTAACCAAATAAGTTATAAAGAAAATAAAATACCTTATAAAATCCACTTCATTTAGAATTACCAAAAAGTTCTGGCATTGATATTTTGTGGAAATGGTTGGCAAACGTTATACATGTATATGACTTTGACCGAAAACGACAGTAATATTATTATATTAGGAGAACAAAATGATGGAAGTTTATAATGGACCACCGACACGTGCCGATTTTCACCGACCTGTATGAAAAAACAAGGTTATGGTATTGACTTTGTATCGACAAGATATCTAAGAGTGGTTTTAATGTTTGAATCCATGGCATTGTTCCACCGAAAGTGAAAGTGAGGGGGCAATACGTGGATCCTATGCCTGACACTAACTTGCACTGTTTCGCTCTGTTTTTCCCTTAACCACATGCAACGCTACTCTCTCCACAAAATTGACCTACGCTTTCAAGAATGAATCAGATTGACCATTTCAAATCAGCACCTCCCTTTTATTGAATTCTTTTTGACATTTATTTATACATGTGGAGTTATTGCCAAACCCAAGAAAAGTTTCTTCATGTTTTGGGATTTGGGTTTTTTCTTGTTTAGGAATTTTAATTTTTTGCATTTCCAAAATCTTAATTTGGAGATTTTTTTGGTGATAAGATGGTAAATTTGAATTTTGTTCACTTGCCTTGTCATATGTAACATATTGTATTGTTTTTTGTGTCAGCATTATTTTGAAATCAATGAATATACTTAAGGAATATTTATTACATTACATTAATTATGTTCTAATTATTAAATGAATTTTTATATAATAAACATTTCTTTTTTGGTAAATAAATCCTGCTAAATAATGAACGCCGAAGACACAATCTTCAATTATATCCATAAAGTTGCACTGCTAAAAAGTTACGAATTTAAAATAGAAACTTGACATGGTTGTCTAAAATTGTTAATTTAAGAATTTTGAATAGTATTGCATTTTAATAAGTTAACGTACGGGAAGATTAACCCAAAATAATAAACAAAGTCAATTATTGTAAATGAGATGGGAATTGCCCATTAAAGAGTCGAATTTGTACTTGTTATTGGAGATTGCTTCTTCTATTTTTCTTTTTCCTCTCTAATAACGATACGTGTTTATGAAATGTTTTTTTATTGACCGCAAGAGGGTGAAAAGATTATGTATTCTACAACATTGGCTAGTTAGAAATTGTTTGTTGTAACATTTCATTATTAAAATATAACTTTCTTAACATTAAAATTTAGAATTTTAAATATTTCCAAGTTATATTTTTTATTTAAAAACATTGATTACATTTTTATATAACAAATACTTACATTTTTAATAATATCTGCACGTTTAAAATCAAATCTAAAAATTGTTAATATTTTTTTTAAAAATAAAATTACTTCACTACTAGAAACACACAAAATATTAATAATTTCATAAATAATAAATAAAAAAATAAATTCTTTTAAATTTTTTTGAATAAATCCGTTTATCTGTAAAATTTGCCTATAAACAACCCATTATTTGATGTGTAATATTACAGACTAAAATTACAAACAAGAATTTTTGTTTATAATTTGAAATTAAAGTGAGAAATTTTGAGCAAAAACTACAAATAAAAAAATTCATTTGTAATTTAATTATAACTTTTCATATAACTTGTTACAAGAAATTTTTTTCAATTATAACTACATTGAATGTATTTACAGACGGATAAATCTATCTGAAATTGAACGTGTAAAATATTACATTTCATTAAAATAGTTATAAACAGAAAAATTTATCTGTAATTTACAAAAACATATCAAAATTACGTTTTTTTCTTCCTCACTTTCCATATTTTCTTGTCTCTTTCTCATCTCTCTCTATTATCTTTAGTTATTTGACCATTGCAAGTTTGTTGGAGCATTCATTTAAAAAATAATTTCCATTATTGTGTATTTGGTACAATACTCTAACTTTTAATCAATTTAATTTTTTAATTTTTTATGTAGAATAGAAACTTATAATTTTTTAAAAGAGTTATAAGATTAGAGATTGTATGAGTGGGAATGGGCGTAGAGGTCCTTTTTCGAACTTAATTATTGTGAGATTTTTTGTGTTTGTGAAAATTATAGAATGTGTATGTTGTAAAATTACAATGGAATGCGCTTTAGAATGATTGTAATGTGTATGTTTATAATTTATTTATTAATATATTTTTATATAATATATTGATTATGCATGAAAGAAATATATTTTTTTTTATTTTACCTTGAAAAATATAATAAAAGTTGGAGGGTCATAATAAAAACTAAATCAATGAGTTAAATTGAAATTGATGAAGTAGATGATAAATATATATATCAAATTGATGACTTAATATCTTTACGTCTAGCTGTAGTCTCCCAACGTTATCTTTTTCTTTGAATGAACTTGAAATAATTGACCCTTCTACTCAAGTTTTAAGAAATAATGAAAGGGATAATATGACTGAAGATAAAAGGTAAGAATTTTTTAATGACATTTCATCTGATATTGATGATGGTAGTCTTGAACTATCAAGGTAAGTGAGGTAAATTAAGAACATTAACAAATATTTTATTTCAATGATTAACTATTTTGAGTATTCACTAATATTAATAATGTTTTATTATAATAATGATTTTTTACTAAACATATATTATGTTTTATTTAGATATGATAGGTAAATGTAAGAATGATGTTTTTCTAGTCGTGGTAGACCTCCCAAGCTATGGAACAAGAGTAGTTTATCATAATGCTTAACCTTACCGATGCAACATTCCTCTTCCTTCTTTACTTATGATATTGTTTCTATCGACGAAGATCATAGTGCTTACTCATGATAGATATTGTTAATATATTTTTGATATTATTTCATTAGCTGTTTATTTCTTTAATTGTAATGATATTTTAATTTAATATTTTTTAAATTTTAAACTATAATTTTATAATTTTCTTTATGTTTATAAATTGTGATAATAAAAAATAATAATAAATAATTATATAAGTAAATAAAAAAATAAATGTTACAAATAGATTATAAATATATAAATTTGTCCGTAATTTATATAAATTTTTAATAGATGAATTTAAAAATTTATTTGTATTTATTTATTGGCAAAAAAATGATAGATGACTTTATCCTGTCTACAATTTTTATATTTTTTGTAGTGCCTATTGAAATTAATTATTACACAATTTTTCACACCATTGAATTGAAATTTATTATGGAGTACTTAAAAATGAAATCAAAATATTATGATAACATTAATTTTAAAATATTAAACATAATTAAAATATATATTTGAATTAATTTCAATCATAAAATTTATATTAAAACGTGTCATGGTGAGAGAAAATTACTTGTCTAACAAGTTGCTTCTATAAGATGCATACCCTTAAGCTAATTTAACTTTTAAAGGTTTAACTTTGCATATACTTGTTTTTCATATTTAGTAATACAATTTTTAATTTTCTACCGTTTTTTTCTTTTTCATTTTTATTTTATACTTCTCAATTTTCATTCACGAGAATAAAGAAGATGTTTACTTTAAAGATTTTGTTTTACAATAGAAAACTAACTCTATGCTTTCTAACTGACCGTTGTTCAACATAAGTGCTACCTCACAAGCTTCAATGAGTACAATAAAACTTTGTGGTCGATAATTTTGATAAAAGGCTCAACATAAACTGGAAACATTTCAAGGACATTCCGACCTAATAAAAAGTAATCAAAACCTTTATCCGACCCTTCGAGAACCATAAAGATACAAATCACGAAAGCAGGGGCAAGCAAATATCGTGTTCTATGAAATTCTATCCCCGTATCCACAGAATGTATATAATACCATAAACAGTGTAAAAAAAAAAACTTTTGTTAGGGTTGTGAGCGTGGTGGAAGGAAAGATGGAGCAACACGTCTCATGCAACGTACTAACCATTTCATTAACCAATGTTCATAAATATTTTGGAATTGATTCGATTTAATTGGTCGTTGTGGTTATGTTTATAAACTCTCAACCAATCTCTAGGTATCCTTATTACTCTTCTTAAGCCTCTCGATAACGATGGGAAGATTAACAAATTGATAATATGCTAATGTATTCTTTACTATTTTTTATTTCTTAGAAGTATTGCTGTATTTACTTTGAAAAAACTAATGACAAGCACTTGTGCTAAGGGCCCTATCAATTAATTTAATAGAAATTGGTTAAGAGTAGTTAATTATTGTATCATTGATATTAGGAGCAAGCCATGTATAGTTCAGACGAAAATTCTGTTGCTATTGCTAGTGTCATCTAAATGTCGTCTTTAGCTTAAATTGAAAATAGCATAAATATAATTTATTTAAAAGTTTAAATTAAATATCTTCCACCAAAAATATCTACTACCCCTTTTATCCATATATTTTTTCTTTATGCTATGAATGCATTCACCACCCCACATTAATTAGCTGCAATTCACCACAAGGCCTGCGCAGTCACTAAGAAGGCATTGGAGAAGGAAATGAAAAATATCTTGGCAATGATGATGCTACCAATCCGCGTTCAACACATCATGAGTACGGACAACAAAACAGTTACACTGTTTGCCTTCTTATGACCATCTCACATTGGAGCTCTGTTGTTGCTACATGTGGAAAGCTAAACAAATCTCAAAGTGAGTGACCAAAGGTGGTTGGTTGAGCATGAAAGAAAGGAGATTGGTGTTGAAGCAAAGACAGAAGCGCGTGGGTCCCAATGGAGCAAACCAATGAGAGAACTTCTCCATATGTTGTCTAAGTCTTTGCTTCACAAGAAAAAGTTGGATTTAAACACCTTTTAGCCTCTCATATAAACCTCTCTCCCAACACCCTTTTGTTCCTCACAAGTCACAACCCACACAATCTCCCCTGCTTTCACCACCTGAGTTTCCGAGTTCACAAATTGGTAACAAAAATAAATCATCGAAAACCCATTGAGCTCTGATTCCCGCTCGCTCTCTCTTCCTTGAATCTGTTCTTTCTACACACGAAATTGAAGATGGGTAGCTCCAAAGGGAAGAACTTTGGCATCCGATTCTGTTTCTGATTTGATCGGATCAGCTAGGTGGAAAAGAACCCAGGTTCCAAAAATTAGGTCTTTCTTTTATTCTTTGACCAAATCTGAAACTTGGATCACCCTGATTCGAATCTTCCTACTTTGACTCATACCCATCTCGATTCTGTGCATAAACACCCCAAAAAAAACATTGCTTGAGAGAGCGAGCGGAGTGTTACTATTGATGCTCATGGATGCAACTAAGAACAGTGGAAATTTCACAAAGGAAGTGGACGATGAAACTCACAAGGTTACTGAAAGCCAAGATTGGGAGATTGCAAAGGGAAAGGGTATGGATTCAAGTTCTCAGAGGCGTCAATGGAAGCCAGTTTTTGATGACGTTTCCATCTCACATAACAGGCCTCTCAAGAAAATCCGTAGCCCTGATCGCCAAACCACAAACCAATCTTCTCCTTCTTCTTCATCATCATCTTCTTCTATGTCCTTTCAACCTTCTCCCCTCTTTGCTCCTCCTTCTACTCCTTCACCCTCTTCAAGAATCGTGTTCCCTTTTGCCTTCGACGCTTCCCAACACCCCATGCAATTCCCACACCAATTTGGAACCACAAATTCACCTTTACTTCGTCCACCCTTTCAAAACCAACAACAACAAATGATATCCTTTCAAAACCAACAACAACAGCATAACCTGGCATATCCACCAATCTTAGCTCGAGATTCCACCCTTTTACATCATCATCAACAACAACAGCATCACCAGCAACTTCTTCGGTATTGGAGTGACGCACTGAATCTAAGTCCAAGAGGAATGATAAACAGGTTGGGGCCAGATGGAAGGCCACTATATAGGCCTCCAACACAACCCATAAACACAACCAAACTCTATAGAGGAGTGAGACAGCGCCATTGGGGAAAATGGGTAGCTGAAATTCGTCTCCCTCGAAACAGAACGCGTCTTTGGTTAGGCACATTCGACACTGCAGAAGATGCTGCCATGGCCTATGATCGCGAAGCCTTCAAGTTAAGAGGAGAAAATGCAAGGCTCAATTTCCCTGAACTCTTCCTTAACAAAGAGAAAGAAAAAGAACCTTCTTCACCAGTTCCAACACCTTCTGAACAAGCACCAACAACAGAAGAGTCCAATGAGAATGACTCCGCAATTGGGTCTAGTGATGCCACTGTAAGCGATGAGGTTCATGCAGTTGCTGCAGGTTCTGAAGGAGGTGAAGGGGTTTCACAGTCACAAGAACTGGTTTGGGGAGAAATGTCTGCATGGTTCAATGCAATTCCTGCTGCTTGGGGTCCTGGTAGTCCTGTGTGGGATGATTTGGACACTACTAATAACCTTCTTTTGCAGTCTCAGATTCCCTTTTCTAATCCCAATCAACAACAATTAAATGATGCTGCTGATGCTAGTGATGCTCAGAGACAAGAACATAACACTGGACCAGGTTTTAACCTATGGAAGGACCAGGATTAATGATGTTTTTTCTTCTTAAAACATCAAGAGGAAAAGGATCTTTTTCCCCCTTTTTCTTCTCTCTACTTTAGGAATTCCTACCTTGCTTCTTTCCCTTCCTGGTTGCACCTTCAAATCCCAACTTTCTTTAGTTTTCACTGGTTGCAGATATTTTCACCACACAGCCAGTGAATATTGGATAGCAGTAGAAACTTTCTGTTCTGTTCCTTTTGACATTGCTTTCTTTTTTCTTTTTTTTTTCACTTAACTCTTTTGTTGTTTTAATTTGATGTAGTGAAGGTAACTTAGCATGACCAGGGAAGAAGGAGACGGTTTTGTGATTTCCTTCTCGGTTGGTCCATCCATTATGAGCTATGTTTTTCAGCTCCAAGGATGGATTTACATTATTATTATTACTTCATTTGTAGTTTCTACCACTGTTATGTTATGTATCCTTTCTAGTTTATACAGTTGTTAAAATTAAATATCCAACAATTTGCATTATCACAGAGGATACTGTATGTGTCGTTGTAATTATCATATTGCTTTGATTAAGTTCCACCTTTCGCCTTCCTTTGGTTTTGTTTTGTCCAATTAGCATGCTTTAGTTTGGATATACGTAATTTTATGGCCGACTAAAACATAAAAAAAGGGAAATGTTCAAATATCAAAGTATATATATTTTGCTACCACTATATGCCCTCAGTATCAGAGAACTTCTAATATTCAAAGCACATAATGCTGACCCACAGGAATCTATAAACCAAGGTCACCACCGTCTTTGGGAAACACTAGGAATTTCTAGTTCCAATACGTTTGACCCCGCAATGATTTTTTAGTAAGCTCCCTAAAATAAATAATTTAAATTTTAAGTTTAAATTAATTATAATTTTCTAATCATATTTTAGCTTAAATTTATATTTTTAAGTCTGAATTAAGAAAAAAAAATTGTATCATAATTTTTAATAAAAAATTATTTAATAATCTTTCAGTTAGCATCTCTAAGAGACTAATTAATAGAATTATTTGATCTAATATTAACCTTGTCCCCAACTATCTCGTGCATATTTCATTTTTAAAAAGAATGAAAACGTCAATCTCGCTCATCATTGAGCATGCGCGCATATACAACTAATCTTTAGGTATTTTCTTTTTGTTTATTATACTTGTTTGTGGCCATCACCAACAATAATTAAGTACTATAGTATTTTAAAAGAAATTATTATATGTACAATTAGTAACCTGTCATTAAAAAAATACATATTACTACATGTCGCATGAACTTTTACTGTTAGTAAAAAATTATTGATAAAATCTAATTGAGATGACATACAATGTCTTCTTATATTATAAGAAAAGACTTTTTTATAATAAAAAATAAATTATAAACAAATTAAACTAATAATATTACGTTACATTTGAAGGGTATTAGGTACTCCTCAAACGTGAGAGAGCACAGCACCACAGCAAACACTAAAACCATTTCAGTTATTGAAAATAAAAAAATAAAATCTTAAATTAATTAATAAATTAAAATTATAAAAACATTAATAATACACTTAGATTTTTTTTTAAATTAAATATTATAGTTTTTTTAACTGTATTCAAAACTGAGCAAGCTGACAAAATTCCAAATTTTAAAGTTAATAATAATGAACTGTATATTTTTATTTTCTTGACTTGACTATTGGTGTGTCTAGTAAAAATTTTAGGTTAATTTCACTTGAAAAATACTAATAATATATTTGTTAACATATATTTAATTTTTGATTAAAATTTATTTAAAATTATAAAAATATAAAAAAAAATATTAAAGTTAAAAATAAAGAGTGAGACTCATATAAATTTTATAGTTTTCAATAATTTAAGTAAGAGTATGTTAAAAGGAATTTTTTAGAAAATGTATTGTTAATATTTTTTTTTACTTAATTTAACTGACTTAAAAGTTTGCTTAATTAAATTATAATTCTTTAGTAAATGAGATTAATCTAGTAACTCGTAAGATTTTTTCAAATGCACTAAAATATCTATACTATTTGAACTTATAAACTCTATTATTTATTATTATTATTTATCAACATAATTTCTTATTTAATATGATATTATATTCATTAATTATTTTAATAAGTAATTTTATTAAATATATTATTTTTCATTTTAATAAATTAATTTATTACTTTTTAACTTTTATTTACCTTTTCAACATTCAATTAACATCTATCAATTTTTTCAATCACGCCCTGTGAATCTCACCAAATAGGGAATCAGAAATTGTCTCTTGTATCTTCGTGACAAACGAGTTACAAATAAGGACAAAAGTCAACACAGACTTTCCACGTTAATTATTGCAACTAATATTTTATTTTCAAAGGGTAATTAAGTTGATGAGCAAAAGTGGGCCCAATCACCGGCCCATGAGATAATCCACATTTCTTACTTGCGACGGCACGATAACGATGAGTTTTAACATGATTAAGAATGATTTTAATCCTAAATGAGGTGGTTAATTAAACAGCATGATTGTGATGATAAACATGTAGAAGGTAATACTAAACGATAAACAAAATATCTAGGACCAGGATGCTAGTGACGTAGCTATACTCTTTTTAAAATTTTTTTTTTTCAAATAATACGTAGCCATAGTTAAGTAAGTTTCTGTTGATGTCATCTAAACCAAACCCAATCTCTATGATGCAATGGGCTGCCATCAACATTGATTCATAAAAAAAAAAATTTAAAGCAAACAGAAAATTTTCGTTTTATTTTTCTTCTTGAAATATAATATCTTAATTCATATAAAGTATACTAAATTAAATTGATGTGATGCCCAGTGAAAGAGAGCTATATTATTTTAATAATCTCATCTGTCTCAATAATTAAAAAAAATTATACGACTTTTAAAATATGACTTAAAAGGAGGGCCAAAAATTGTTATGATAAAATATATTTTTGAATATGTTTATCTTTATATAAAAGTGAATTTTTAATTTAATCTGTATTGTGTACTGTTGTCACCACATCGTTGGTTGGTGTAATATAACAATATACTGTAAGAATCAAATTAAAAATAAATGTTGCATACAAAAGGTAAAGAATATTATATTTTCGTCCACTGTATAGTTATTTTTAATTTGGTTTCTGTATTTCGCATTACTTCTAACCAATTTTAGCGTGCTATAGTAGCAACGAATAGTAAAGAGAAATATAAAATCATTTATATTTGTAAAGATTAAACTAAACGAAGAATGAGTATTGTACACACACAAACAAATATAAAGGAGATATATTTAATGAGAATAATTTTTATTTTGAAATTGTGAAACCTATAAATTAAATCATACAAACATATGCAAATAATCAAGATTTAAAATTAACTAATAATTAGATAATTACTTAAAAGTGTTATGTAATATTAACTATTTAAATAAAATTTAACAAATCTCTATTTATTATTCTGATCCTTATAATAATTAAATATTTTTATGAGTCATTCCTATATAAGTGTATATGAATATAAAGGATAAAAATATACTAAAAACTATTATTACTCAATTGTTCGTGTGATATATAGTCGAAGCAATAGGATATTAGATAAACTTCATCCTTCGAAATGGCACGACCTTCTTAATTTTTAATGGTACAATCGATCATTTATTGTTTAATAGGATATTAGATAATCTTTCCCTCTCATGCATATAATTTGTGTTTTATTTATATCTAGAAACATATGTTTTATTATTATTTTTTTCATGGCAAACTGGACTGAAGTCACTTGAGATGTTACACCATAATTTGTTTTTGCTTGACCTGTATGGATATCATAATCTAAAATTAAACCCACGATGGTACTAATAAAGATATTATATTATAGAATGATTTTTTTTGTTTCCTTTTTAAAAGTACTCTATGTATATATATTAAAAAGATAACACACAACTTTTTTTAATGGGTTCGAATCGGTTGATACCCACTTTTCACTCATTCTGGTCAATTTTTTACTAGTTTTTTACTCTACACTCATTGGTTCATTCCATTTTTCAAAACTATGATGGATATTGGAAGTGTTGAATATCATTTGGAGTGTAAAATTAGAACAAGTTCGACTGCAATAGTGGTGTGAGTACAGAATTACAAGTAACTTGTAAAAAAAAAATGATTCAGACAAAGTTTTTGGGGCATGATATAGTTAAAACGTGAAATCTTATGCTAAATTTAACTCCATAAAGGAGATAAGGTTAGTTATTTGTAAGTGTTTCCATTAGCAAATTACAACGTCATTGCATAATCACTAATAAAAGCACTGGGGATGCAGTTTTGACCACATAAGCAAGCCAAATTGGCCAAGTATTTAATGAAGTGCTATACAAAAGTGACGCAGTAAAAATGAATAAAACTTTTTCAGCAAATTCAGAGGCAAGTAGGTTTCAAATTTCTGTGATTGTTCTCCAAGTTGCCAAGCCAACAAGCAATTAGCCAAAATAATAATTGCTCTGTACTAGGCAACAAGCAATCACCCATCACTTATTTCTTTCAATCCTACATTAATACTGTATCCTTATCACACCCAAAATTCAATTAACTAGAAGCATGACATGCTAAATGACATAATTTGAAGAAAGCTTGCACTTAGGTGCTACAATTCATCAATAGTCTATGCCATTATGAAGGTGCAATACATGACACTTAGATGCTACAAGTCATCAGTAGAGTCACTTTTAGGCATCCATTTATTGGTGTCGTTGATATGGCTCTGACCTTTGAAATCAAAATGAGCCAAGATTTATTCACTGCTTATATGTCCAATGTTATATCAGTTGCCCAAACTAACCCTTTCCCTGTCATTTAAAGTGCAAACAACCCACCCACAATTTTTAAAATTTATGCATCTTTTCTACTTCTTAATATCAGCAAAACCCACAAAACTAAATTCGGACAATCAGATAGAAAAAACCAAATTCTTTCCCAAAGGAGTCCTCCACAGCAAAGGATTAAATAAAAATCTTTTTCCCACAGCATGCAACATCTACTAAAGAGTCCATTCCAAATAAGAGAAGCGTTAACTTTTTTTTCCATGCAATAATCAACAGCTGTGATTTGTTATTTTAGCAAAAATTTCATCGAAATTAGGGAACAGAAAGTGACCAATTTCCTCATGTTCCAGACTCAGTGCAAAAACCAGCAACATAAATATTAACATCTATTATGTATTTTGTATATATTTCAAAAATTTAAAAGATAAAGTGTGTAGATAATTAAGTGAAGAGAACACAGACAAGTCTTATCTTGCTATAAGATGATGGTTACATAGATCATAAGATATCTTTGAATTCAATTAAAAATTAAATTTTAAAAATCTAATTAATAAAAAAGTCTCTCTTAATAATCTTGTCTAAACTTTTTTTAATCTCTTTCAATTTTCTTTTACCAAAAAAATAAAAACAAAAAATTATTCTAGCTAATTTTTTCTATGTGATCAGTTTAACTTCATTTATAGGTTTTATTTGATCAAATTCTATCTATCACATATCATTGTTTCCTTTCTTTGAATCATTCTTTCACATACAATCTCTTGTTCCATTTCTATCATTCCCTCACACACAACCTCTTCTCTTCTCTCACCCAATCATTCTTCATCTTCCTCCTACTTTATTCTTCACTTTTCATTTATATGTGGATAAAATAATAATCTATTACCACCATTTTTCACTTCAATTCTCTCTCTTTCATGCATACTTTTTTAATTCTCATGCACTTTTCTTCTTCTTTTTCTATTCTTTTTCTCACTTTTCTCATAGCTTAGGTTAACAAAATTGTATTTGTTATTATTCTGTGAAAGGTTTATTCTAAAATAATCTATTAATATTTTAAAAGATTTTCATAATTTTAAGAATTACACTATGAAACAAACCAATCTTTAAAGACAATATTATCACACTTCAAAATACAATCCTTAAGGTTTTATTTTGAAGCTTAAGATGAAAAAAAAAGAGAAAAATAGTTTCAAGACTTTTATAAACTTATATTTTAAGTTTTTAAAATTTAAAAGTTTATTTTGTTAACTTTCTTTTTCCCTCTCTTTTCTCTCTTCTCTTATCTATTAATTCCTTATGCTCTCTCATTCTAAACTTTCAAACAAACTTAGAGAAATTAAGCATGTAATTACTTAAACTAATTTCTATTTGTTCATACATGCATGTTTATTATATTTATATCTTTATTGAACAAGATGACTCAAAGTAATTTTTTTTATTTTTAAAAAATTAGTAACATTTTAATATAAATCATTTTAAACATAAAATACGCTAATATAAATACAAAATATTTGTGTGTGTAAGAATTAATATAATTACTTAATAATAAAAACAAAATAGAGTTTAGATTCGTAAATACTGACGAGGGGCAATTATATTTTATGACATTTATGGTATAATAAGACCATGAAACGTGACAAAGTGCATGTTAATTAACTGACTAATAATGGTTGGTCGCTGGACTTTCTTGAGACCTTACATGAACCTTACAAGCAATGTAACACACACACACACACATTTTTATTTTCTTAAGAACCATTAATGCCTAGATATTATATCAGGTATAAATTAATCCAAGTTGAGCTAAATAATGCTATCACGGACGATAAAGTTTGTTTTTTTTTCATAAAAATTTTAACCTAACTTTATTATTATTCTTTTTTTGATAAACCAAATTATAATCCTAAGGACTTAAAATTGAGCGATTCAATTAAATCAAAACAAAGTTACAGATCTATATGCTTGGTGGTCATGTGAATGTTATACGTACGATGTGTGTTGATTATAAATTCAATTTAAAAAAAAAATCACATTATTACTTTGGAAATGTTGAGGTTTCGTTTTCTTCTTGTTCATTGTATCCGTTTATTTGATTTGATTTGATTGGGCGATCATGACCAACTTTCGAGTGAAATAGTTTAATATGATCCAAACAAAAATATTATACAAAAACAATAGCCAATTTGCCATGTGACGAGAACGTGACGACCATTGATCCCTCTGTCTGTCCTAAACGAGATCACTTGGTTCGACCCTTCGATCATGAATATGATAATCCATTTGTAATAATAGAATAAATCATGTTGACGTAGTTTATACTTTATAGATAGAAATCAGTAACTGGCCATTGTTAATAACCATTTTAAAACATAGCACCATCACAGGCGTTGCCTTGAAAGAACCATTTAAGCTTTTGATAAACGTAGGAGGTCATTTCCCTGTGATGCTTTAGCACGTGGGCTAGGCCATGAATAATGATATCTTCACACAAAGGTTTTTTTTTTTCAAATCCAGATTATAGGTATTTTTTTATAAAAAATAATTTTATTTAAGTTGAGTAAAATTAATATGAATAATTTTTGTTTTTTAATATTTAATATAATTTTATTCTAAGAGATTCGAACTCCAAATTATTTGATAAGATAAAATAACTCTTGTTTGCTGGTAGCGAAAGAAGAACTTATGTTAACATGTGATATATAAATTAAAATTATGATTTAAATATTTTTTATAGGACTTAAACGATCTTTCTTTTATGAATTCGTTTTAGAAGTTAGTTAGATTCTATTTTTTATTTACATTAAAAAATAATAAAAATTAAAAAAATGTAAGAAAAATTTAACTTAAAAATACAAGTATTTACATGCTTTTGTGACGACTCACATAGATGTACGTGTAAAATATGGCATGAGGAAGTGGGGTTGCTTTGGCTTACATGTCAAAAAGCTACCCTACTTGTGCTGAGTCTTGTCCTTGTATTCCTCAAGGTCAATCTTGACGCCCATGGTATGACCTTAGTATTCTCAGAAAACTGTCTTAGCAGTGTCATACAAAACACAAACCCTCGTTGTCTCACTGCAAGTTGCATAGAAACAAAGAACAGATATGGGATTCCAACAACATGGGAATGGGCAAGTGGGGTTGTCTGGAACCCCTTTGGGAACACATAACAAGTACAAGAGGATGAACTCGGAGCTTGCAGAGGATTATGATGATGTTTTGCATCAACAGGCAAGGAGGATCAGTACAAGGAAATATGTTATCGCTTGTGCCATCTCTGCTTCTCTCAACAATGTCCTTCTCGGCTATGGTATGCTTTATTTGTTTAATTTCTTATTTTGTGATTAATGAAAAAACAATTTCCAAAATTGTCAACTTTGAACCTATGAGTTCTGATTTTGGTACCCTTTTAGAACTGTGACAAAATAAGCGTTTACATGATTATTGCTGTTAACTTGTAGATGTAGGTGTCATGAGTGGAGCAGTTATATTTATTAAAGAAGATCTGAAGATATCTGAGGTGAAGGAAGAGTTTTTGGTTGGTATTCTGAGCATTGTTTCTTTGTTGGGAAGTTTAGGTGGTGGAAGAACTTCAGATATTATTGGTAGGAAATGGACAATGGCCATAGCTGCAGTGGTTTTTCAAATAGGATCACTCATAATGACTCTTGCTCCTTCATTTACAGTACTAATGATTGGAAGACTTTTAGCAGGTGTTGGAATAGGATTTGGAGGCTTGATTGCCCCTATATATATTGCTGAGATATCACCAAACACCACTAGAGGCTTTCTCACTACCTTCCCAGAGATTTTCATAAATTTAGGAATTTTGCTTGGTTATGTGTCAAATTATGCATTTTCAGGCTTTTCAGCACACATAAACTGGAGGATAATGCTTGGTGTGGGAATTTTGCCTTCAGTCTTCATTGGCTTTGCACTTTTCATTATTCCTGAGTCACCAAGGTGGTTGGTAATGCAGAACCGAATTGAAGAAGCAAGATCAGTGCTTTTGAAAACAAATGAAAGTGAGAGAGAAGTGGAGGAGAGGCTAGCAGAAATACAGCATGCTGCTGGTTTGGCGAATTCTGAGAAATATAATGAGAAGCCAGTGTGGTATGAACTGTTGTTTCCTTCACCTTCCCTTCGCCGAATGATGATCACAGGAATAGGGATTCAATGTTTTCAGCAGATATCTGGAATAGATGCAACTGTGTATTACAGCCCTGAAATTTTCAAAGCAGCTGGGATTCAGGATAATTCAAAACTCCTGGCTGCTACTGTTGCAGTTGGTGTAACAAAGACCCTTTTCATATTGGTAGCTATATTTCTTATTGACAAAGTAGGTAGGAAGCCACTACTCTATGTAAGCACAATTGGGATGACAATATGTTTGTTCAGCATAGGGGCTAGTGTTTCTTTGTTTGGACAAGGGTCTTTTGTGATTGCATTGGTGATTTTGTTTGTTTGCGGGAATGTAGCTTTCTTTTCTGTTGGATTAGGACCTGTGTGTTGGGTTGTGACATCTGAAATCTTCCCTTTAAGGTTGCGTGCTCAAGCATCTTCACTTGGGGCTGTGGGCAATAGGGTCTGCAGTGGCCTTGTGGCCATGTCTTTCCTTTCTGTTTCCCGTGCAATTTCAGTTGCTGGAACATTCTTTCTTTTTTCTGCTATTTCTGCTCTTGCCATTGTCTTTGTATACATGCTAGTTCCTGAAACCAAGGGGAAGTCTTTGGAGCAGATAGAGCTCTTGTTTCAGAATGACAAAGAGATGCAAGGAAGTGAAATGGAGTTAGGAGATGTTGAAATTGACCAACTTGTGCAGAACAAAACAGTTTTGACAAATTAATTGATTAGCATGTCTCATATGAATGTGTCTAATGGTTTGAAGAGGTTGTGGGGTGATGTCATGGCTACACAAATTCCACTAGCTATGTCCAAGTATCCTATATGGGAAACTCTGGGGAGGACTTAGCTGGCATTGATGATCTTCTACCACCACAGATTTGAGATCTATCAGTAATGGCAAAAGAAAATATGAAAAGAAGTATAATTCTTACTCTACTTTCCTAATTGTACCGTTATTCCATTTCTTTTAATTACATTTGAGAGTATAACAGAGGTGGCATTGTACATGGAAAGAGATTGGTGACAGACTTGATCTTGCTACCAATGGTTCTCCTTGGATGTTTTGACTTTTGAGTACTTCTAGTAACAAACCATCGTTGCAATATACTACATTAATGAATGTGATTAAGATGGGAATTCTTTTAACAGATTGCTGCTGATAAATTCATTTTGAATACTTCTAGTAGAATATCTTTTGTACTCAGTGATGTTAAAACTACTACTCTACTATTATGCTCAGGTGCATTCTTTATTCGATGGAGGTGTTTGTTGCGAAAGTAAGCCAATGGCTTCAACTGTGATCAAGTTCTTATAATTCTTGCATATTATCTGCGTTACCTTTATATTTTTATCCTTCAATTGTTAACATGATATATATTATTATCTTATTATAATTGAAAATATAATTTATTGTCCTATTGGACGCATACACTCATATTGAAGCTTTTGCAAGATGGAAGAAAAATAGAATGCTGGTAGTACAGAACCAATTACAATTTCTTTAGTTAATAAAGTGGAAACTTTTTGTTGTCTTTTGCTAGGGAAACCAGGGAAGAAAATAAAATAACTTACTGATATATGAATCTCCGATGGTCGTGGAATAACTTGTTGATTGTTCGAATGATCAAGTCATAAGTAGTAGACAAAAAGGTTAGAACATATTGGTTTGCTTTTGTAGACGTTTCAACTAACCAAAAAAAAATGTGGTATACATCAATTGCTACACCAATCTTGTTTGTTTACACACACCATAGCAAAATAATAGAAAAAAGGATAATTTGATCTGACCCTTTCTTTAATCTGCTGAAAAAGGCATTACCAATAATGCAATGAAACTGCAATTATCATTTAGAGCTTCATACGTGGTTGGTGGCTTTGGCCGGCCCGAAGGAGGAAGAATAATGCAACAACCATCTTTTTTATTGGAACATAGTGGCCCTTTGATTAGATATTGGTGCAATATTACCTATTGAAAAATTCCGAATTTTTAGTCTTTTTAAGCTTATTAAATTAAATTGATTCAATTGTGAAATAAAATATTATGCCATTTGTATTGTGTGCCTGGGGAAAATTTATTTTGAAACGAGTAACCTTTATCCACGGTATTAAATTAACACAGTTTGGGATGTGAAGTAATTAGGATCTCAAAATTTGTTTTGCTTATTCATATTCTTATTCATATTACTCTGTTACCCATTTTAGCACAATTACAATTGCAGCCAATGAAAATAGTAATTTAATCAAAGTTTCTTTTAACGTGCGTCTAATTACAGGTGTTAAGAAATAAATAAATAGTAATTTTTATTAAAAATTATAGTATTTAATGTTATTAATACATTAGATTTTATAATATATTAAAATTTATTATATATAAGTTCTTATTGCATGTCTTTTAGAAATACATTAAAAAAACTGTTTAATCAATTATTTTGCAGATAATAATACAATAACACACATTATGTGAACACCAATTCTTAATATATGTTAATCAGAGGTCGTCAAAGAGTGTCAATAAAAAATTCTTTGGTATTTGATATTTAGTTACATAATGTACCTTCAGTCTTATTTATAATCTAATTCATTATGATTAATAAAAAATAAGTATATATCATAAATTTATTCTTAAACATCTCTAGTGTCTTATATATTAAATGAATAAAATTATATATGTTTACTTATGTGAATATGGGATGAGTATTTTAGTAACACAAACTTTATCATAAATAAAAGTATAAAAAGAATTTAACAATTAATATATTTAAAAATAATATTTATTTTATTTTAAAAAATATTAATAATTACTTTTTATAAATAAAACTTCGATGCAGAGGTACTAGGATCTAAATATCGAGATTCATTTGTTTGTATCTTCAAATGCACAATGGGCCAGTTCTTCATTTGTGTGTTATCTATATTTCCCCTCGTAATTTCCACACGCACACAATCTCTCTCACACAGAAACACACTGTACTCTACAGTAAAGCACCTTGATCTAACATGGAGAACATCCAGCACAGTTATGTGCAAGTGAAGGGACTGAAGCTCCATATAGCTGAGATTGGAAGTGGTCACTCCTTCAACACCCCTAACACAATATTGCTGACTGATTCATTTCCTCATATAACTAAGTGATATTATATTTCTGTTGGTACAGGTCAAAAGGCAGTGCTTTTCTTACATGGATTCCCAGAAATATGGTATACATGGAGGCACCAAATGATTGATGTAGCCAATGCTGGCTACCGAGCTATTGCCTTTGATTTCAGAGGCTACGGACTTTCTGAGCATCCAGTGGAGCCAGAAAAGGCTAACTTACTTGACCTTGTTGATGAAGTCCTGGGTCTTTTGGATTCATTAAGCATTAGCAAGGTATGGAACAAGATGTGCTATACATTAAAATTCTTCTGAGTAGTATATCTTATAAATCTGTCAAACTTCAAGAATTTCTAGATAACAGAAGTAAAAATTCACATACAATTCTGAAATTTTATCACCAAATTTTCTATATCAAATTTAGCTCACATAAGCAGTCCCAAGCTCAAATAGCAATACCCTCTGATTCAAGTGAAAAACTTGTCTAACTGCATGCAAAATTTCAAATGATTATATTGGGCTTTCCTTGTTGGTAAGGACTTTGGTGCGATCCCAGCATATATTGTAGCCGCCCTTCATCCAGAAAGAGTAACTTCTGTCATAACATTAGGCGTTCCTTTCACGCTTCCAGGTCCTTCTGTTATTCAGGATCTCCCAGAAGACAGCTATGTTAAGAGGTGGCAGGTGTAAATTCTGTGTCACTACCATTTTATCTTCCTTTGTGTGCCAATGGTGAACTTATGATCAACTATTTTCAGAAGCCTGGGAGGGCTGAAGCAGATTTTGGCCGCTTTGATGTTAAGTCAGTTATAAGGAACATCTACATACTCTTTTCTGGAAGTGAGATACCAGTAGCAGGCGAAAATCAGGAAATCATGGACTTGTTCAACCCATCTACTCCCTTGCCTCCATGGTTCTCTGAGGAAGACCTGGCAACCTATGCATCACTATATGAAAAATCTGGATTTAGATTTGCGTTGCAGGTTCCATACAGGTAATCAAACTCTCGCAGTTCCACTCTCTTTAAAATCTGTAAAAGTGGATGGAATTCACTTTTCTTATATTTCATTATTGGCATGTAACTCTCATGGAGTGAAATCCTACTCTAAATATTTTTGTCTACAAACAAGGCTACTTCTTATATATGAGACATCACATTTCCCTTAAACCAGGTTTCTCGAGTTAAAAGTCTGTTGTTAAATTGCTCTAAAATTCTCAGTTTAGGGTACTCCATTAATTTTATAAAGCATCGTTTATGATCCTTGCAGGAGCCTTGGGGTGGAAAGTGGTATAAGTGATCCTAAAGTCACAATTCCAGCACTGCTGATCATGGGTGAGAAAGATTATGTCTTGAAGTCTTTTGGCATGGAGGACTACATCCGAAGTGGAGCAGTGAAACATTTTGTGCCAGAATTGGAAATCATATTTATTCCAGAAGGAAGCCATTTTGTGCATGAACAATTTCCCGATAAGGTGAACCAACTCATTGTTGAATTCCTTCACAAACAAAGCATCTGACTGTCTGATCTGAGGCTAAGAGTATGATGCAATGTTGTGTAACTAATTATTCTCTTGTGATGGAGTACTTTCTAAGGAACTTTTATTTCCAATAAGTACTTATTCGTGTAGAATTGCTTTTTGTTGTCTTGAAGGACCAATAATTTCTGGACCATGAAGTTGTTGCAGAACGCTGAACATCTTTATTCCCGAAGTTCCGTTATTGCCTGCCGTGACCCATTTGTCAATACACAAAACCCAAACTGATATTTTGTGATCATTACTTAGTTTATAAGGTTCGTTGTCAGTTCTGAAGTGAGTATTTTGACAGAAGCAATCCTGTAACGGAGCTAGTAGATTGATGTTCCATTATTGCTACAAGCCACTATCAATTGGACATAAACTAACCTACACCCAAGCCAATGATTAGTCAGTCATTTTGTTGACAACTGGTACTTGTTCTATCCTCAAAACATCAATCATCAAACATCTTATTGATGACACAGTGACAGTGAGTCGGTGACTATAAAAGTCAACCAATTAATATTATTTAACTAGATTTTGTCAATCCCTTTAGCTTAGTGAATGGTTCGTAATCTGTTGGCTAAAGTAGCTCTTATCCTCACCTAAGTCAGTTGGTCACCGCATACTCACCATCCTCGGTCACTGTAAACAATCCTAATGAGACTAAAGATCTAATACAAATCATCTTCCAAGTACGATGTTTTTTCATTTTTCAATACTCAAAAACTTGAATTGTGCGGACTTAATTAAATTGATCAATGGGAAATTGTAGAAAGCACGCATATACTAGTTGGCTTATCTAGTACTCTAAACTAAATGCAGGCTTTTCAAACATTGATCCACAGCCTTGGTTCAGCACAAAACAGGACCAACACAAACAAAACAAAGCATTGATCCTCGAAGGGGAAGAATCTCAAAGTGCATTAACCAAGAGAATGTCCAGATTCATAACAGATACAGATTTGTCGACGAATTCATCAATATACAATAACGTGAGCAGAGAGGTTGTTTAAAGAATATAAAGTTGTGACCTCCGTGTCACAAAGCAGTAATATACAGCAACAAAATTATGTGCATATAGTATTTAAAGCTGAACTCAGATGGCATAATTTGTACAATTTGAGAGGGGACCGGTTTTTCTTCCATCAGGGAATTCCTTGGCTGTTCCTAGTTTCATAACATCATTATTGTAACAGAACCTAATAAAAAATTTCATCAAATTAGCAATCCAAATATTTAAATGATGACTTTAATAACTAGCTTTGAACTTCTTTTTGGTATCCAAAAGGTACCCTGAACTCACTCAACTATTATGCTAGTTAACAAATTTGCCGAGAAAACGCAATAAAGAAATACTATCAATAATTCAACAAAAAGCATTTTTAAAGAGGAGCAAACATATGCAATAAAATAGAAATCAAGATAATGGTTAGATGACAGAAGACTAATGCACAAAATACAGAAGTTACAAATGAAAGAAAAAAATCGAAGGCAAGAAGACCATGGATCAAACTAATATATAAGTGCCTTCAAAATTCTACGTGAGATATATTCAAATTTCTATTCAAAACTAACCATTTATGACACAGCTCTAGTACATTAAAGATGCTATTATATTCATAAATCAATGTTTATTATTCTCAGCTGCATTCTCTTCCTTCCCAAGGGCAACCACCAGTTTCTTCAACATGGATTCTGTTGGTTGATGAGAGTTCTCGACAGCCTTCGAGATGGCTTGCCATTTCTCTCCATGTTTTGGTTCAGCAGCAACACATCTCTTCAATACATCCTTCTGGCTCTCCTCAGTTCCATGCTGCAGTTCAAATTTATAGCACAATGCCCAGAAATCCCCAATGTCAGGAGCTAGCGTCACAGCCCTATTCAGCCAAGTCCTAGCTTTGTCCACCTTCCTATCATGCCAGAATAACTTGGCCACAGCAGCAATAACATGGGGATCATGGTCACATTTCTTGAGCGCATCCATGCTCTTGGTTTTACGCTGTGGACGAGGCACCATCTCAATTGATGCTGCCCATAGAATACCACTGTTGGGACACTCCTGCAATGCTTTTGCCATCAAAATATCAGCTTCTTTCTTATATCCATGCTTCAATTCTGCTCTAACAGCAGCTAGCCAGAGTTCAGGGTTTTGAGGATTCTTCTTCCGAGCCATTGTGAGAACTGCACGAGCCTTACTCAGCCCATTCATCTCCTCCTCAAGATTCGCAAGAGAGAGCCAAAGTGGAACACAATTAGGACAGTTTTTCAGTCCAGATTCATAGATCTTCTTAGCTTCCTTCATGTGATCAAGCCGCTTCTCAGGCTGATCAAGGCGCTTTGCATTCTCAGCAAGCCGTTCCTCGAGCTGGCCAAGCATCAACCACAATTTAAAGAATGAAGGGAATTGTTTCAGCCCTTCATCTAACAATCTCCTCTCCTCTTCAATGTTTCCCAGTTCTCTCTCAACAATTGCTGATTTCATCCAGACTCTTTCTGTACCTCCTCTCTCTCTTGCTTTAGCCAACAACATTCTAGCTCTCTCAGGTTCATGATTTTCAAATTCTAGCTTGAAAGCAGCAAGCCATATTTCCTCGGAATTGGGAATGGCAGCATATGCTTCTTGGAGGATAGCACGAGCTGCAGGCACATCTCCAGCAAGCCACTTCTCTTTGGCTCCCATAAGCCAAAGAACTTCAGCCTGTGGTCTGTAGGTAACTGCTTTACGAAGTAATGCATCAAGAGATTCTCTGGTACCATGGCTCTTTTCAAGCTGTGCCGCTTTGAGCCATATGCTCTTCTTAGTTAAGAAGACAGTCAAGGCATGAGCATATATAGCTCTGGCAGTCTCAATAGAACCTCTTTTCTTGCATTCCTCTGCATCAGCAACCCATGTCCTCTTCCTATCTTCTTCTTCAACTCCAATCCCAATCGTATTGTGGATTATTGCCTGGCAAGTTACCACTGACCCAGCACGCTCAGCTGCCTCTGCTTCCTTCATCCAAGCTTCTCTATCGATCGCCAAACCTTCTCTCTGCAAAGCCCTTATACCCCTTTCAATTATCTTCCCAACCATGGAAGTATTCCCATTAGCTTCTTCCAACTTGGCAGCCGTTATCCATATGGCCGGCTCCTTGGGCAGCCTCTCTCTTGCCCTATTAAGAACCTTCTTAGCATTGTCGTAAGTTTCCAACCTCGCGAGTGCAAGCCACAGTTCAACATGCAAGGGACAACACTCGACAGCTCTGTGAAGCAAAAGTCTAGCATCCTCCTCATTAGCAAGCTCCACAACTGCCTTCCACAGCCTAACCGAATCAGGAATGTGCTCCAACCCTTTTCTCAACACCCTACTCCTGTTGGCATCATCATGTTCCAATTTCGAAGCCTGCATCCACAACTTCACAGAATTGGGAATAGACTTAACACCCCGAGCTATCACAGCCTTCGCCTCTTCCGGGTTTGCCAGCCTACAAGCTTCCAACCACACATCCTCATTCTTGGGACACTCTTCACACCCTCTTTGTATCAACTGCCTTGCTGCCTGAAGCTTCCCCGCCAATTCCTCCAACCTGGCAGCCGCAATCCAACCTGGAGGGTGCTTAGGATTTGTCTGAGTAACACTCTTTAGCAGCAACCTAGCCTTCTTGAAATCCGAAATCTCAGCATCACTCGTTATTTTCATGCTGTTGAGCACGGTCAAATACCCCTTGGGATCCACATTGGTCATCCCAGAAACTGAATCCGACAACCTATCCAATTTAAGAGACAACACAGTACCCCTTCCCTCGCCAACTGCAGTCAAATCAGTAACTGGGGTTTGTGCCCATGGAGTCTCAGTTCCATTGGCAGCCCTACTCTTGGGGTCTAATGCGGTCACATGCTCTTGTTCTTGCCTTGCCTTCTCAAGAAGAGTATCAGGTACAGGCACAAAACTCTCAAACCTCTTCTTCTTATTCCTCGAGGAATAACCCCCGCTCTCAAATTTCTCTAGGCTCTGCCAATCCTCTGCAGAAAGGGAATACAATTTACGCTTCAAATCAGCAAATTGCTCAGTAATTTTAGGGTTAGAAGCACGATACTTCTCAATCTCTTGCTTCAACCTCGCCTCTCTCCGATCCTTCCTCCTCGAATCCATTCTCTTATCAATGGCCTCCCAAACCGCATCAGCCTCCTTATCATCCTCATCGTATTCCGCAGACGCAAACAGCCCAACGTCGTTCCCTTCGAACTCGTCGAACTTCTGATTCTCGTCATAGCCTTTGTCTTCTCCTTCGTCTTCGTCGTCGTCCTCGCCGGGCTTTCCTCTCCCCCTTCCGACCGCGGCGGAGGCAGCGCCGCCGATGGTGGTGGCGGATCTGTCGGGGAGGTCAGGGGCGGCGCGTGCGGGACCGATATCAGAACGAGTAGTGAATCCAGTGGCACCGCGTCCAAGTCCGGCGACGTAATTGGGAGGAGGCTTGGAGTTGAGGAAATCGAAGCGGGGTTTGGGAATCGCCGGAGGCTGTGTGCCCCCGTAGAAGGGGACATGAAGGGTTAGGGTTGAGTAGGGTGTAACGCCGAGGTGGGATATGAGAAGAGAATCGTTTTCATTGTCTGAGATTAATGGACGAGTGTGAGAGAGGAACAAGCGCTGGTGGGAACTGGGAATGGTGAAGTTTTGTTGAATTGCGAGTTTGAGGATATGGAGAGAGGTAGTGTTAGGGTTTACTTCTAAAGCTACGGTTCTGTTGTTGGGTAACACAACGAACACCATCGTTAATGGTTATGCCTAGGTCTCTGCCAAAGCCAAAGATAGTGGGATTTCTATTGATGTCTCGCCTTAATGGTTGCAAGGGTTCTTCCACAATCATTCCTCATTTCTATTCATTTTATCTTATCAGATTGTTGGGCTCAAGACATGAGCCTTTATAGTTTCGTTGCCTTCCGCCTTGGGTTTGGGCCTATTCATAATTTTTTCTGCACAAAAAAAAGAAACAAACAACCAAAACCACCAAGTGCTTTGAAAGAAAGACAAAAGTTATATATTATTTTTAAATACAAATTATTAATTAAAATTAAAATTTTATTTTAATATGATATTTGTATTTAATATTATCACAAATTATCAAGATAAAATTCAAATTTTGATTTAACTGTACTTAAAAAACTATACTAAAGTTTTGTTTCGAAAGAAAGTAACAAATACACACTCTAGTGCATCTTGTGTTGTTCCACAAGGACAATCACACAAAATCCACAGATAAGAAAAAACTTAGATGTAATATTATAAATATTTTTAATATTGTTTTTTTAAATTAAAATTATAGTTTTACTTGAATGTTTACTTCTACGTTGACATTTAATTTTAAGTTTTATCATGCACATTCCATCGTGGAGGCAGCCAACTACTGAATATTGCTTTTAAATTCCATATCAACATTTGAATGTTAATAAGTTAGAAGGAAGTCAAGGTCATGGATCTCTTAATTAAAACTTCTGAAATTCTAATATTTTTAATCAGAGATGTTATAACTTGAAATGGCACCACTGATTATTATCAATATAACGAGGTTTTTTTATACGAAACTAGTATAATGTGAAATCAAATTACATATTTTGTATAGATTTTAAATTATTTACCTAATTAGTGTAAATCGTATTTCTTAAGTACGACTTATATTTTCTTTTCTCTAAAAATAAACTAGTAAGTTATATAATGGTATACGACTTTTAAATATTTTAAAATTAAAATATGTATAAGTATTTATATTTTTTTATTTTTTTCTTATTTTAACTTCATTCATATTTGACACAATATACTTTTTCTATCAATAAAATCATTAATAATAGATCTAATATTAAGAGAGACATGAAAGCCTAATAATATATTAGAAAGCTTTGTAATGTCATTATAAATAAAAATAACATCATTATTATACTTATCATTAGTCTTATTAACTATAAATTAATTAGGTATATAATAATAAAAGATAATAACATAAAATGCTCAAATTACTTTCTTCAATATTTTTTCGAAAGAATTATTTTTAGAATATAACAATGATAAGTACACAAATAATTTAAGTACGTCAAATTTATTAATTTTACAATAAATTAATATATTTTTTAAGTTTGACACTGACAATTAACATATAAACTTAAACCATCATCTAATATCCTTTAATGTTAATAACAATAGTTCAATTTTTTTTAAGTATAATAAATATCATAAAGATATATTCAAAATATAGTTTTTTTGTATAAAAATATTAAATGAGATTAATTATTTTATATTCAAAAGCAGAAAGGAGATAAAGAGTTCAATTATGCTACCTAACACACGTAAATGGGAAAAGGAAATGCAGTGCATGTCGCTATAAGGAGGCTAAATAGTTAACACCCCCAAAGCTCATATTAATAATATATTTCTATTTTCAAAGCATGTGTAATTCTTTCATTTTCTATTGTAACACGTAGCTTATAATTTATTTATTTATTTACATTAACTCAAAGATCCAATAAACTCGCACCAATGATAAAAACATTAAATATTTGAAAAAAAAATTAAAAAAATTGTTATACGTAGGAGTAGTAAGATGTAACATCGTACCTAGGAATGTGACATGACGCATGTAACATAACACACGTCGACGTGAGTTTGAGAGTGATTGATTGGTGAGAGGCAAACAAAACAAACACATTGTGATTTGTGATCTGAAGACAACGTTGGAGAGGTAACTATCAGCAATGGCGTCGTTCGACTCGTTTGAGGAGCAACCGCATCAATCGCCAACGGGACCCTTCGACGATGATGGAAGCTACACGGACCTGGGAATGGGGTATGAGACTCAGCCTCAGCAACATTATGATTATGGATCCACCTTCAGTCATTCCGACGATGATCAACACCCTCAGCTCATCATTGATACAAACAACAACAACAACAAAGACAACAACCTTCATTCACCCCAAGTTTATGGCTTCGGCATTTCCACCCCCAACCCTGACTACGTCACACCCTTCGAATCCGCTCCCATTGATGACGCCACCTTCACCTCCGACGGCCCTATCCTCCCCGACCCCACTCAAATGCAAGAAGAAGGCTCTGCTAGACGTGAATGGCGACGGTCAGATTTTGTTTTATTTCTTCTATTTCATCAACCTTATATGATTTTTTCAGATTCCATCGTTTTTCATTGCGAGGAACGGGAACTCGTGCATGTCGTACACTAATCCATTGGTGTTATATTGATCTTTTTTTTTTTGTTTTTTTTTTTACCTTTTAATACTGAGAAATTTTATAATAATATTTTTTCATCTGATCTTGTGTTAAGATATGGAAATTATATATAATTAACCTTTTGGTGTCAAATGGAACTCAATTAGTGTGGTGATGAAGAAAGTATTACTGTATGTGTGTGTCCTCATTGTTATATCTTGGCAAGCTTTTATTATGACTGTATACAAATTTCATGGTTTCCATGGGTGCAGTAAAAATGCCATTCATCTTGAGGAAAAGGAGAAAAGAGAGAAGGAGATGCGGAATCAAATTATTAAGGAGGCGGAAGAGTATAAGGAAGCCTTCTACGAGAAAAGAAAGCTCAATTGCGAGGCAAACAAAAAGACCAACAGGGACAGAGAAAAGGTACAAATAGTAAACTTCATTTCCAATCTGCTACTGTTAAGTAATTAATTCCCACAGCCTATTCCTTTAAGAAAATGTAAAGAGACCAAAGATGTTATATATATGAGTTTTGACAGTATTTATGAATCATAATTGATTCATTTAGTTTATTACCTTTTGTGCACAATGCATTCATTATTAATTTATGTGCAAATGAAGAAAATGAGAATGTGTGTGTGTGTGTGCATGCAGCTATACTTGGCTAACCAAGAGAAATTTCACAAAGAAGCTTTCAAACATTACTGGAAAGCAATAGCAGAGATCATTCCTCGCGAGGTGCCTAATATCGAGAAGAGGAGAGGGAAGAAAGAAGTTGAGAATAAGCCTTCCGTTAATGTTATTCAGGGTCCAAAGCCAGGGAAACCTACTGATCTTGCTAGAATGCGCCAAATGATTTTGAAGCTTAAACAGAACCCTCCAACTCATATGATGCCTCCCCCACCCAAAGAAGAGAAAGATGCAAAAGAAGGCAAAGATGGAAAAGATAGCAAAGATGCAAAGGAGGGGAAGGATAATAAGGGTGGGAATCGTTCTACACCAACTGCAGATGCAAATGCTAATGCTACTGGAAATAAACCTGCCTCTCCTACAGAAGATGCTGCTTCTAAAGGTGACCCACAAGATCCTGTTATTGTTGAGGGTGAACAAGTGCCTAGTTCTGAACCAGCAGCTGCTCAGTGATGAAGATAATATTATTTTTGTTAGCAATTCTTTTTTAATATATACATATTGTTTTATTGTTTGATCTTGCTAAATTTTGTTCCTATATTCATGGAGAGAATAAGTGATGGCCATATGAAGATACTTTAGGCTTTGCAGCATGGCCAGTGGAGAGCATCAATCCAAACTATTACCCTAGATTTGTAGGTTTTAGATTCAAATCCTTTTGTTGCTATCTTACTTTGGAATTTCTCATTGAAGTACAATTTTTATGGAACTCTTCTTTTTGCATATGGTTTTCCTCTCATCAACAAGCACTTAACTTCGCTATTGTTAAGAGGGTTTTGCTTTGTTCATATCAACCTTGAAAACCATAACTGAGGTCCTGACCCTGTAGAAACTGCTAGGCTGGTTATGTACCGGCTTCCTTATAACTCAAGCAATATGAAGCGTTTTTTTTGTAGAGGTGATAAATTACAACATTTCAAAAATTCAACTCTCTCAAAATCTATACTTACAGCATCAAGAATTATGAACCTTCTCATGCTAGAAGCCTACATCTGTTATCCTTCAACTGTCTTTAACAAATTGCCAGTTTGCAAGGGCTACATAGTAACATTAAGTGTTTTTCCGCTATTGATGATCACCACAAAGGACAGAGGATGTTGTTAAAGGTTCACATTGCAATGCTTGTTTTGTCCCCTATTCCTTGCCGTATATCCACCCTGTCATAATTCCATTCACCCTATTCCTGTAGCAGTAACAACTACAGAAGGGCTTTGCTAATTGCTACCAGTACCTTAAGATGCGGTGATTAACCTACATCTATACTCTCTGTTGAACAAGATGGTGCTTAACCTAGTACTATATTTCCCATTGTAGACCTTCTGAAGGTCTCCATAACCACAAGCTCCACCTAAATTCAATGCACAACCACAATGTCAAAACTCAAAATTGCGTATAGCATTCATGCTGAGGTTAAAAGGGGCAAGAGAATTACCCATATAAGCAGCTATCTTGCATGCTTGTAATAAAATCAGGTAGAAAAATGTAATAGATTGTAGATCGCCCATATGAAATAACAACGTTTAAGAGGTTTGTTATTTCCTTAAATGAAAACACTAAACAAGCCAAAAGGTCTTCCCTTTTTTCTAACTGCAAATTATGCAGAACTCCTTGCTAAAGATGAAGATAGAAACATGTGAACCCATGTTTCTGAGTTTCATATAGTGGGGACTTTCAGCTTAACCAATATTGGGCTATATGTTGCATCGATTTTTCTAACATGTATGATGTTACATGTTAAAATGTTATGAATGATAAGTTTTTATTAGAAATTAAAAATTTAATAGAATTTAATGTAATGACACTATTAAATGTACATTTTTCAATAAAATTTTACTAAATGCAATTTTGTACCAGAAAAATTTTGTACTAGTGAGAAAAATCTATGTTGCATATTCCAAGCAGCGTATTTTTTATTTGGTTTGGTTCTTTTCAATGGTTTATTCTTCTTAGGCGGGGAAAGGGGAAGCTTGGAGTCTTCAATTTGAATGCCTTTTAGACAGAGAGGAAAATTTGAAGCTTTTTACTTCGTAGTGTGTTGGGGTGGCAGAGACAGAAAGCTGGAAGCTTTGTAGTATCAGCATGCTAAACAGAAGACTCTTCAATGTTGAAATTTGACTCCAAAAAAATCGCTTTAATAATCATTTTGTTTCAGAGGGCATGGATGCTGCATCCAGTGTCAAAATTTGGCAGCTTTGTTAGCTTGCTAGTCACATTGAACTAGTAATGTATTTATACTTGACTAAATGTAGAAGATTTCCAGCAAACTTTTATAGAATCTCTACATTTTGGTTTTCTATTAAAAACTTACTTTAAAAATGAAAAGAGAAAAACTTTTTAAAATTGTGTCGAAGTCGTCGTCTTCTTTTATTTCTTTAATAAAAAGCTCAAAAAAGAAAGCGGGGCAAACAATAGAAGAACCTCGAAATTCACATATGGCCCCCATTGGCCTTGCTGTTTGTACCTGTTTTTCTTTTTGTATGTTGCGAGGAAGATATATATCTCATATCTTAGAGAATCAGCCGAGTGTGATTCCCCCATGTGATACTAAGCATGCATGACCACCCCCATTAACCTCTTCTCATGTGTAGTCACACGTCAAAGCCTATTGTTACCACTTACCACAATAGAAAAATCAACCTGCTTAATTGAGTTAGTTCTCTTGGGACTTATTCCAAACATCTGCTTGCCAATCCAACTCAACTAAAAGCGAATGCTTAGTGGTATTTATTTATTTACTTATGATTAAAATACAATTTTTTAAAAAAAAATCTCTATAAAAATAAGAATTTATTATAATTGGTCATAAAATTTATTAATTATATGTTATAAACGTTTATCTTATTTTTTTATTCAACATGATTATTTGTCCTATACGGATCCATAGAGTACCTTATTTTGAGCCTTTGATATCTAACATGCTGATCCATAGAGTGCCTTATTCGTTGGGAACTCAAGGACAACAGTCATAAATTCCTCAACAAAATTGGCTGCATCCACAATACAAACATAGGATTCCCTAGCTATTAAATTTTTCCAACGACTCAATTCCATTTTTCTTTGTTTTGTCTTAATTATGCTGATAGTGTAGCTAGGGAATTCCGTGCCCTTTTTTCTTCCAAATTGTCAATGGTACTTGGAGAAAACAAAAACTATATTTGCCAGCAATAATCATGAAAAATTAAGTATCATCATAACGTGTTGTGTAAATGTTTTAATATATTCTTCTACATATCTTTCTAATAATTATTTTTTTAAATATTAAGTGAAATAATACACGTTCTTAATTAGTATTTTTAAGGATGAAAAATATTTAATAATTTTTTATTTAATGATGAAAATGATATGTAAGTATAAAGTAAGAAGAATTTAGAATTAATCATTATTTAAACTCAAGTATCAACCATTTTCTGCAAAAAGAAAGATCACTGCTAGCTCTGGGTTATGGCATTGAATTCATGGTTCACACTAGAGTCACCGCCGAATATGAATGAATTCTCGATTTTGTTGACGTAAACCACCGTCTCATACAATGAGAAAGGGTTGTGCTGCTGAAAAGCTGGAAAGCATTTATTTTCTCATTTGTTAACAAATTTAAGATGGTCATGTGTTGTGGCTTCTGCGGAACTTACAAATTAAAGCTCCAAAGTTCCCTAGCATTGGCCAATGAGAGATTTTGAAGTGCTTTAATATGTGGCATCTTACATGTAACTCATTGCTATTTTTATTTTTAACCACATTTTTAATCCTATAACTAAAGTAACATATGTTAACACAGGAATTGATTAAAAAAAACCTCTAAAAAGATTCTAGAGGAATAGATATACATACATATTTATAATTTATAATTTTAGTTTCTTTAAATTATACCTGTAATACTTCACCGAATGAAAATTATTAAAGCTTTAACACTAAAATATTTAAATTATTATTAACGATAAAGAATATAAATTGTTAATGGAAATTGTAAGAAAAAAAAGTCATAATGAGGACCACAATGCTGGGTTCATCCCAACATCAAGGTGGAAAGTAAAATATAGCAAACAATGTTCACGGATCACGGGTTCTCAAATTTATTTTGAATTCATTAATTTAAATCCCACTGATCATAATACACTCATTCTACAATTCTACACTACACGCTCTCTCTCCTCTTTGGAGAGGGCTACATAACATCCGGTACAAACAGTTGCACACCACAAACAAAATTAGATGTACAATAAGCAAAGAAATAAAATAAGAAAAGAAAAGCCAATGATAGCATTGTGCGCTCAAAGGCTACTTTTCTTATTAAAAAAAACAAAGATAAAGAACTAAGGGTAACACTGTAAACAAGGTTGAAACTTAAAATGCCAAGAAGATTGTCTGCCATGTGGAAACTTGAGCATCCTTAACTGGGTAAAAGGTGATTTATTTATTAATTACTCCCTTTGCGAAGAAGGGGCTTGGGGATGCTTCTCCAGTTGCAAAGTCTATGTTAAGGAAGGAAATTTAAGCGAGAGGTATAAGTGGCTTTTGGAGTCCAATTACTTGGAATAACATCTCTGGCTGTGAGGCTTCTCCCTGTGGATGTGCTTAGTTTAACAGAGAAAGGTCCTCTTAAAGGCCCTCCAATAATGCACCAATTTGCTCCCCATAGATGATTCATCTGCAGCCACTCACTAGACCCTGCCTGCCAATACCAATATCCAATATCACAATATAACAAAATCAGTCTCATTATTCTGCTTGTTAATTTTGCATAAAACCCCAATTGGGGTTGACCATGCACGTGCACCTATGACCTACCTAAGAGATATTATGCATTGTGGGGGTGTGAGGATGCAATTTTCTTTTTAGGTCCCATGTCACATGCTTAGTGCTCAGAAGATATATGAAAAGGGGCACCATTATATGAGGATAACACTCTGGATAGTGTTTTTAAGAAGATAGAAATGGGTCTTACAACCTTTGGTAGATAATCAAATGATTCCAATCTGAAGTACAAAAGGTGTTAATGCTGCAAGGAAATAGCACTGGCACGTGATCTAAAAAGACATCCACAACATTTGGAACTGTCCACGCTAACCATGCCCATGCTGTCTGCTATTTTATTTATTTTTTGGAAAACAGGTGTAGGACACTACATTGAGCATGCCACTAAAATAGGTTAAATTGGGCAAAATAATTATAGTTGAAAATTATTTTCTTCAAAAATTTAATGCATCAGCATTCTAAAAAATTTAAACTATTGATTAAATTAGAATTTTTCCTGCCACCTAATCTTTGCAATTAGCACGGTGGTGCTGGTATGACAATTCCTTCTGCCCCAGATCCAATGTTTTACTAGTTTACTATCTATTGCACATTTGTACATTCTAGCTATAGAATATTGAAATATTTTAAGAATCTCATCGCGATTTTCTGGACACTAGAAGTTCAAGGTTTCTCTTCTTACTTTGATGGGGTTCTGTTTTTCTTCATTTTGCTATTCTATTATATATCTCTAGATATGGATAGTTGGAGATTTTGAGGAATAAATATATAATGAAAATTATGTAAATAAATATCAACAAACAGAAGAGATATACATACTTCTTGTACATGCATGGAGCCTATGTCCCCATCTCCATCCTCAAACTCCGCCAGAAGTGAAAGCCAAAAGGGTGTGGAACCTTCGTTAACACGGAAGGCAATATTTTTGCCACCATACAAGCATGGTGTTCTGCCCAAAATACAATCACAGACAAAGGTCATTCAGACTTTTTTTTTTCTTTCCTTTCTAGTACACAAAACAAAAGGGTGCTTCAACTTCAACCCATCTTTTTTAATTCCTTCCCTTTAATTCATTTTTTTAATCCAAAAATAGAAGGAAAAAAAAGGACAAGTCTATAGTCAATGCTGCAGTAGCGACTACTAAAAGAAATCTGCATTACTTAATGACATAGTCAGCAATTTCTCAATGAAAAATGTCTTGTTGCATAATTATATAAACTTGCTTCTTCACACAGTGGCACAAGAAAATCAATGTAACCACACTGAGGTTTGAGGGTATATTTTACATAACATAATATTAGGATCTATTTATCAATTATAATTTGATTCTTCAAAGATTCACTTTAGAGAGAAATAAAATAAAATAAAATCAATTATTAATAAAAGTTAAAAGAATAAATTTTAACAACTAATCTATAATTTATTATGTATACGTTCATATGAATCATTGATATTTTTTACTTTTATGCAACACTTATTATAAATTTTTTTTATCTATCTCAATCATATGAATTATCTTATTCTATACCTTTTATTTCTTTTTATTATAATAAAAGTTATATAAACTTACTGTTCAGATTCAGTATTACCAAAAAATATTCTATTTACCATGAAAGTTCACTGAACAACACGGTTAAAGGAATGTCATAGTCAAAAACTAAAATACACATCCGTAACGAAAAAGACAAAAAAGAGACACGGTCCTTACTCAACATTTTAACGGTTTTATCATTTTATTTTTATTTAGTTTGTCTTTTGCATGGAATATTTGCACAGGCTGTAAAACTAAATTCCATAAAAAGACTGAACCTCCTTGTACCGAAAAAATGACTGAACAACCTGTTGTTGTCGAAAAAGTGACAATTGAAATTCAGTGCAAAATGAATATTTAACAAGGTTAAGAAAAGTGAAGGAAGCGAATGTTAAGGGTACCTACCTTCGGTAAATGACGGGGATTTCACCTCGGTTCCTGAGCTGACCGTTTTCGCCAGCAACAGCCATGCGACCAAAGGCAGCACCGCTAAGGTCGAAGTGTGTTCGGTCAGAGGGGCAGCCGGGGCACTCATCCGTTATTATAACCGTCACCGCTCGCTTCGAACATATGCTTTGGTCTAAACACTTGACCTTATAGCAAGCCCCGCACCCTTCCCCCTTCATATACAACACTGGCCCCACCGCTCCTACCCGTGCCCTCAACGGCTTAACGTCCACCAACGTACCATATCCACATGCCCCTCCTTCACAATCACATCACACAACATGGTTACTTTCTATCGTTATATAATATAATAATTCATATAGCATGTTTGGTTTCGTTGCTTCATGTTAGAATCTACGCGATTGACGCTTTTGTTTTCAAAGTAACTGGTTTATAGCTTCTACGATGATTTAAGTTTATGCAAATCACAAAAATGGTGCATTGCACTTGCATCTATTGACTCAACTCAGCGAGTCAGTGTTTAGTCCTTACCGGTGCTACCGTCTCCTTCGGGGTCGCCGTACCAGGTGGCGGTTCCCGGGTACCAATGTGGGTCCAGGACAAGCTGTTCAGGTTGTCCTTGAGCGCATACTAGCACAATTTCAAGGCAGAAGCTTGCAAATAACACGGCGGAGACACGGTGGCGCTGCATTTTGAGTGAGAGTGAAATTGGTCGACGCGCCCCGCGAATGTTGGTTCCGGCGAGCTCGGAGCACGAGGAAAACAGTTATTGATTGATGGCGGCAGAGGATGTTCTATATTTTTTTTTTTTGTGGGTGTATGTTTTGGTTGTTTGAGACCATTAATGGCCTTTGGGTATTTTATAGTGGTACAACGCAGTGGGGTCCATTCAATGGAATAACTGTCTGGACCTTATCGTCCATTTGTTTGGCAACTATTTACCATTGGTGCCACTGTGCTGGGTCCCACTGGCGGTTGAAGCGTTAATTCATCATGTGCGTGCCCTCACGGAGAAGCAAGTGGGTGTATTGGTCATTTCATAAGAGAAAAACTTTTTTTTTTTTTTTGCTACCGTTAACTACGTTTGTTGTTTCACGGACGGAAACGGTCGAATGAACGAGAAAGCGAGAGAGTGGCGATTTAAGAAAACGACGGTGTTTTGGCGACCCCAGTTTCCGTTTCTCGCAACGGTGCGGACGAGAACGACTCGCAGAAGAGTACTGTTCTCACCTTGTTGCGTTGGGTGTGAAACTGTGAGTGAATTATTGGCTTGATATGTTTTGATTTAATTAAATATTAAGATTAGTTAATTTTTTATAATATCCTTGGGTAAGGTTGAATTAATTTAAATATAAAAGGCATTGATAACACATGCATAAATGAATAAAAAAATGGTCCATCAGACAATTTCCTATTGGTTTTTTTCTCTTCCTTTTGGCAAAAATTGTCCCCTTTTTCCTTCAATTTGCTCGATATATATTATATGGTATGACTGTGACAAAAGTTATAGAAAGAATTGCTCGGTATTTTGCAGATAATATGTGGCCCTATCAGGCAACCATTGTAACATTGTCTTTGTTTTTGTTACATATTCACATCAGTGGACCAGCCATATTGTGTGTGTGTGTGTGTGTTGCTTCTATTAAGTGCAGCATGTAGGTTACGATATGACACATATGAGGCAATTAAGAGGCACCATGCAAAAAAAAGTAATTTGTTACACTTGCTTGGAACACGGATTAATTATAAGCATGACGAGATAGATAACAAAAACACAATAATTATGGTATTAGTGCTAACTAACTAACTAAACGCTCTCTTGGCCCTCTTCCATAGTAGAAAATAATAATTAATATTGTTTTGAGAGTAAATTCAATTTTACTGATTCGTGAAGGTAAAGCTATGGAAGAGGGCGTTTACTTAGTTAGCACTGGTGCCATAATTATTGTGTTTTTGTTTCTAATCTTGTCATGCTCATAGTTAAACTTATCATTAGACCTCATTTTTTTTATAAATCACTAGACTTTCAATATTAATTATTCGCAAAAGTCTCCTATCAGAAAATCCATGGAGCGTTGGCTTCATAAGTTGTAATTATTGGTCCAAGGTCAGCAATTCTGGAAGCTGGTGCCGACTAGCAAGGTAGCAGCATAACAATGATTATGGGAAAAACGAATAAAAAACTAGCCAGTATTACAAATAATAATAACACTACGTCTTATTATACTTATCCGAGAAGAAAAAATAAATTAAGTTGATATTAAATATTACTTTTTATTAAAATATTTTTATTTGTATAAAAATTTAAGTATAATAAGTAAAATATTTATATCATTTAGTTAGGTCAAAAGTAAAAAAAAAAAATACAATATTTAAAAATAAATTATTAAATTTTATAATTAAATTTAATAATATAATTAATTTTTTGTATAATTTATTTTCTTTCTAAATAGATAAATAAAAATTGAGGTAGTAAGAAGAAGAAAAATGACGATTAACGACAACAATATAGCATCTTGAGAGTACTAACTAAAGTGTCAATGAATACGCAGATGAAATTATTAAGATGAAATGTGTTAATATCCTTCTTTTTTTTTTTAACCATTACTCTAATGATATTATTAATATTTTCTAACAGTAGTAGTAGTATTTAACTCTTTTTAATCAATGATCTAAAAATGTTGGTTAAAAATTGATAACAGAAAAAATAAATAAATAAAATTACGCTAAGAATTAAGAAAAGAGATTTTGTAACATTTTGTTTATAATATTTTTTTTCACAAGTGCCTTAAATCACTTATGAACATTTTTTAAAAATTGTTAGAAAAACTTATCAGAATCTTTCACATTTGTCAACAAGCTTAAACAGAAACACATGCGACAAGTGCCGGCAGGGTCACAACTTTTCTGATATAAGCTCTCATATATTTCAACGGATGGCTCCCATTTTACTTTTGCTAATATCTACTTAATTAGTATTAGTGTACACGAATATTGATCATAAATATTTAATTGCATTATTGATAGAAATTGTTATATACTCTTTTGGTTCCTTGATTATCGGGGCATTAAGTTTGAGTGGGATTATGAAATCACGTGTACGAATACAAAGCTTTTAGAACTAAAGGTCCAAAGCATCAAATCAAACAAAGATATGGGTTCGCATGCTTTTAAAAGGAGGATTCATATATGGTGGAATTTTATCCGTGTAAAAGCTCTTTGGTTGTTGTAAAGACTTAAGAATAAATTCTTTTATTTTAAAACATATATATTAACTAGCAAGAACACGGATACTTATAAATTAAAATAAATATAAAATATATCAAAAGTATGTGAAGAAAATTTTATTCAATTAGAGAATTTTATTTTGATAATAAGTAAAAGACGAATAAATATAGGATGTCCATACACACACACACACTCATTTAAGACTTTCATTTATGAAAAGTCTGTAAAAGTAATCTAATTGATACAGTATTATTTTAATGATGTTTGGAGCATATTGCGTTAAGCTTGGTGTTAATGAAAAAAACGAATATAGAATATATAATTTTAAAAAACAAAAATCTCCTTTAATTGATCATACGTAATTAAAGAGGAAAAATATTAATGACTTATTTTTTAATGTTTTAAAAGTATATTTTTTAAGAATATATAAAAAATGATTTATTTTTTGGAAACTTTAATGAAATAAGCATTATTTTTTCTTTAGTTATAATTATAAAATTATTTAAAATTTTATTTATAATATTATTTTTTTCAAAATCTAATCAAAATAATTTTAGAAAATCATATTTTTTTAGATTATATGTTTTCAAAAGAATAAACAAACACGCTAAAGAGTATTTTATTCAAAATAAAAAATATTTTTTATCTAAAATTATAAAATAAATAGGTTCTAATTCAATATAAAAGTTTAAAAAAGAGGTCAAAAGAAGCAGATTAATTCATAAAATGTGTGTTTATATTACTTTTAATAAGAGTAAGATAAATGTGGTGAAAATTAAACCATGTGATTATGAATTAATAAGAGTCCATACAAATATTTTCTTGCTTCTAATAATGGGGGGATTTGAATTAAATATCTGAGTGGTTTAAGCCAAACAAATGAAAAAAATCATAATCATATTAAGTTTAGAAAGTTATCCCTCTTGGTCTCGCCTCCCCATGTTGCTTCATTGACAAAATCAAAGTTTCCGCACCTGTAATCTATTATTTTTCATCAAACATGCAGAAGCGTACGTAGCGAAATTATTAAAAAAGTATTTAATTAAAAAAATTACGAATGCGCCCATGAATCACGACTTCACGATGTCTCTCAACTTATCATAATACAACTTAAAAAAACAAGTAGTTCTGGCCACGTCTAATAAAGTATGATCAAGTGGTAATGAAAGACTTCCATATGCATTATATGCATGACTATCAGCACATTGCTTAACCCTTTCTCAATCTCACTATATATTATAACCACTTAATCATGCTATTAAGTTATAATAATGTAACATTGTAACATGCAAGATAGAGTTTTATATAATAAAATACAAAAGAACTAGGTAGACACATGACGAGCTCCCAAAAATGAGTAGTGAATCTGAATCATGCTTTCAGAGGAAGCAAAAGAAAAGGTAAAATGGGAAATAAAAGGAGAAAACTATGATGCATATGTAAATGTTGGATCTTTGTCCTTCTCCTAAATTTGTTAGCGTACGTTAATGGAAGCTGTACCAAAAGACTTTACGGGTTCTCCAAACTTCAAGCCACATGGTAGGATGCAGGTGATGCCTTTGTTCTCTACCAAATTGGCCTTCACAGGGGCACCTACAAATGTTTGAATGATACTCATCGCCAACTCTCATATGCACCATATTAGTACAATTGATTATGCTACCTTTGCATGTTAATTTCTCTCCTTTTTGTGCTTCACATACTATTTCTGTACACACACCCGACATATTTATACACATACATCTTCCTTTTTTTTTTCCCACAACTCTTGCTTCACTTCTCGTCCCTTTGTAAATGCTAAACTAATTTACTGATCAATTCTGGTAATTATTCACGAATGAATTGGTCAAAATCTTCTTCATAACATTACTCATTTTTCTAAATATTATAGGTTTCATCCCAATAATTATGAATACTGATAGAAAAACAAGACAACAAATTATTAATTAGATAATGGTAAGTGACGGTGAATTAAAATTAAATTCTTACATTAGCCTCTCCTAAAATTGGTTTGGATTACTCTTACCACCCAGTTTAAGAAACTACCTTTATTTTTTATTTTTTTATTTTTTTACATTATAATTTGTATATCTATTTTATAGTTTTTACTATTTTTTATTGCATTATTTACAAAGTTTATCACTTTTCCCTTACTTTCTTATTTGTCCCTCTTAATATTTTTTCTATTCTCTTATTTCTTTTTATTGCATTGTTTATTTTATTTATTATTTTCTTTCTCTTGTATTCTTATTGCTCTATCTTCTGCAACAGTGTATATGCACCCCCAATGAAGTGTGAAATATCATTTCTGCATTTTTATTTTTATTTTTGAAGTTATTGTATTTCTAACTTGTACAGAAGACTTAAAACTTTGCACAGAAAATATATGCAACAAGGGTCTGTGTATGTTGAAATTTCAAAACAAGGAATGTTAGTTTATTGTTGATTTTTTAAGCGTGCAGAGAGACCAGCGTAATTTAAGGTGTGATTTACACATTTGAAAAACAAATTAATTTTTCCAGTATTAAAAAGTCTTGGATTCACACACGTAAAGAGAGAGAAATGTGTCAAGGGAGAATAAAAAGTAAATAAAGTGTTTTAAGATACAATAAATCAATCAGACGTTTATTTAATAAATTTTATATGAGAATTTATATAATTTATTTCTATAAAACTTATTAAAATAAAGTTAGAAAATTATTTCAATAAACTATATAAAAATGTTCATTGAACAAGTCTAAAATAAATTATAAAATTATAAACTATTTTTATAAAATGTCCCTAAACTCTTCCAAATGCTCATATAAGAATAAAAAATATCATTTCATTCATATATATAGCTGCTCATCCTATTTCCTGATACAATTTCAACAGAAGAAGCAAGGCCTTGTATTAAATATTTTATAAGTTTTTAAAATGTGGAATACTTTTTTTTTTGTTTTAAATAATTAGAAGTATGTAAGAAGGATTATTAAAAGATATAAAATGCCTCGATTCGATCCCTTGAATGAAAATTCTTAATCAACATTCAATTTTATGTAATCATAATCAACATCAAGTTGCTGTGGTGTAGTGGTTATCACGTTAGTCTTACACACTAAAGGTCTCCAGTTCGATCCTGGGCAGCAACAAAAATGTGTTTCCTTTTTTTGACCCATTTATGTGGATTCCCGTGAATTTGGTGTAAAATGATTTTATTTTCTTCTTAGGGTCTTTGAGAAGCTGAATCCTTAAAAGGTAGTAAATGATTTTCACAACAAATTAAAAGCAGCATAATTGCCAGCCATGGAAACTGTACTTTCAGGTTTCAGCTCGTATAAATGAAGATACACATGGTTTTTATTTCTTAATTAATTTTTCTCCAGTTGGCATCATCTTGATTGATAATAGAGTAATTTTAATTTTTTAAAATTTTGATAAAAAAGTTGTAATAGTATTTTAAAAAGTACATAATTCAATGTATTAATTCTATTAAATGTTATAATTTTTAATAAAAAAATTGCTATATACAAATGTTATACATGTTAAAAAATCATTTAAATATTTAATGTTTATAAATTATTAACTATTAAATAAAAATATTAAATATTTTTAAGTGAACATATATATATATATATATATATATGATATTTATTTTATAAGGTAGGAAGAGACATAACAAATTGGTGGATAATAACATGGAACCAAATTGTTATTAATATAATAAAGCAAGAAATGGGGGAGTAGGCTTAACTTGAAGGGAAGAAAAGAAAAAGGCGAAAAGAATCTGCATTCAAAATTCGAATCTACCCAATCGATTAGGCTCTGGCTCCAACCTTTCCTTATCCTAATTCCTAACAGCTTCAACACCACCCCATCATCACCGTTCATCACAAAATATGAAGGGCCAGCGATGAATTCCATCATACGCTCCCATACTCCTCACATGCAGTTGTTAAGAACCGTGTCGCCCTATAATCCGTTAATTAATCAAACTGTGATAAAACGTTTCTCAAATTTCTGTTAACAATTAGTTTCTCTTTCGCTCACGCTTTTCATCTTCCTTCTTCAATATTCATTTTCCCTCACTTTCTCTTGCTTTCTCACCTTCCAAACACCCTCCAATTCTTTCTTCTCTGCGACACATGGAGATGTCAATGGAGGATTTGCGTTCGTATGAGATTCTCTCCACGGTTCTCAACGCTTTCCTCCGACGCGGACGATCTCCTCGATTACCGAAAAATTCTATACCGATTACGCCACGAATATCTAGTTTCAGGGCGGCGTTTTAAGGTTATTTCTACGCTTTCGAAATTTCTTCGTTGCCTTTCGTTATTTTCACTGTTTAGCCTCGAAATTCCAACAGTAGGATCGTTGACTCATGATTTCTTATCGTTCGTCAAATCATTTGTTGTTAGTAACTTTCTGCGGTTATCTCTGTGCAAACTTTGGATGTAAAAGAAATTTGATTGTATCAGTCTTGGAAAATTTTCTGCTATGCTCTTAGGGTTTGGAACAGAGCTTGCAATGTCTCTGAAACCTTGATCTGAAACAAGGTTATGAGTTTCGTTGTTTTGGAATTTCTGAGAGATACTTGTTGCATTTGCGTTTTTCTTGATTCTTGAAGTTTATCTGGTGTTAAATTTTCCATTTGACCTTTTGGTGGGAAAAATTTAAATGGCTGGAAATTTGGAATTGGGACCTCCGAGATCTGGTGCTTCAAATCTGAAGCAACAAGCGGCAATAAAGATACTAAAAATTGTGAGATCCCAAGGGCATCCTTATGTCGAATTACGTGAGAATGGGAAAAAATTCATATATTTCTGCACTTTATGTCTTGCACCGTGTTACAGCGATGATGTTCTGTTTGATCACTTGAAAGGAAATCTTCATAAGGAGAGATTATCTGCCGCTAAGGTTACCCTGCTAGGACCAAAACCGTGGCCTTTTAATGATGGTCTTGTTTTCTTCGATACTTCAACTGAAAGTGATAAAGACTTGGAAATTACAGATGGTTACCAAAACAGGTTGTTGAAGTTTAATGACAATGGCAATGACAATGACAGCAATCTTGCGATTGTGAAGTTTGATGAAATGGTTCAGTCAAACGCTCAACCATGTTCAACTGATGATGCGCTGCATGATGATTGTACGCTAGTGATTCCTCATTTGCTGATTGGAGATGAAACTTTTGATGTAACAGTTAGGGAAGTTGGCTTGGGGAAGATTGCTGCAAGATTCCTTGAGAAATGCTACACTTTGAATGGGATTAAACGAATATGGTGTGAATGGTTAGGAAAAGAAAATAATGGTCAACAAGGTGGTGTTGATGTTCTAGAGCATGATTTTGCGGTCATAGTTTTTGCTTATAATTATGATCTCGGTCGGTCTGGTTTGATTGATGATGTCAAATCATTGCTTCCATCTGCTTCTATGACAGAATCAGAAAATGAGAGGGAAAGTGGCCAAAAGGGGAAGACGTCGTTGTCTGACCCTGATGATATTAGTGATTCTTTGAGCAATCAGTATGATTCATCTGCTGAAGATTCTTCTGATTCAAACAATTCTAGCTCACAATTGACACTAGATCAATACAACAATCAGCTTCTTCGCACAAGGTTCATTTCAAGCAAGGCTGTCAGGAAAGAATTGAGACGGAAGCAGCGGCTAGCAGCAGAGAAAGTGTGTAACATCTGTCAACAAAAAATGCTTCCTGGTAAAGATGTAGCAGCGCTGTTGAATTTGAAGACTAGAAGACTAGCGTGCAGCAGTCGGAATAGAACTGGGGTAAAGACATTTTTTTTTAATGTTCTGATCTTTTTTGCAATATTGGTTTGTTCGTACTAAATCTTGTATAATATAAAATCTTGAGATATTGAGACATCATGATATTCATAGTACACTTATTCTAAACTTGAGCAAAAGATTTGTGTGTGTTCATATTTCATTTATCAGAATAGAAAAGTTATATTGGCACTTACATGCAGGCATTTCACGTGTTCCATACATCCTGCCTTATACATTGGATAATCTTGTGTGAATATGAGATCATCACAAACCGTTTAGTTCGTCCAAATGTCAGACGGGGAGTGAAGAGAAAGGTTGCGTCAGATGGTGACAAAATTGGAAAAGAAAAAGATATAGAAAAAGACATAAAAACTGTATTCTGCCCAGAGTGCCAGGGTACTGGTATGATCATTGATGGAGATGGGGTGGAGCACCCAGAATTTTCTTTGTCTCAGGTTTGTTCGTTACATGGATAATTCTTTCCTAACATACATTTAATCCCTTTTGGTTTTCCTTGAGTACGAGAAAACAAGTCCATTTGGAATTTATCAGATGCCCAATCTTCTTGTAGATGTTCAAATTCAAAATAAAGGCATGTGATGCTCGCAGAGAATGGATCAAGAGTCCCGAAGTTTTGCAGAATTGCTCAACTGGGTTTCACTTCCCTTCACAATCTGAAGAGATATTTGAGGTCTTTAAATTTTCTACATTTTCTTTTTCATTTAAAATTAAATGGTTAATAGTTCTGATAATTTTTTGTGATTGTTTTGGTTTCAGGAAAAAGTGGAACCCATAAATTTGCTGCATTTTTATCGTGCTGATAATCAAAATGGGGCATAACAACCGTGCAAACGTTACGTATAGTTTTATTGACTGTTGTACGTCTAAGTACATTGGTTTTACATTTTCAAGAATTATGTGTAGCTTTTTAGGTAAAGATCGGTTGATGACTGGGTTATATAACCTCGTAGATAGAACCAGATCAAGTATTGTGAATACTTGTTGCTAACGAGTATGTGAGTGCACGTTACTGACACAGTGACATGTGTACATTTTAAAGAGTACATATCGTTCTAGAATGCCATTATTGTTCCCTCGCTTCTTATTTCTGAATTTTTAGGTATCAATTTTATAGTTTTTCCGGGGTAAACACTGGATTGCAAGCAAGAACAAGAGATTTTGTATCATTAAGATTGTGTTTGTTTAAAGGGAGAAGTTATTTGACCAAAAACTTATATAAAATTTATAGATAAATATTATTAAACAAATATTTTACAAAAAAATATTAATTTTTTGTGAAATAACTTTTAATATAATTTATGTTTTGCTACTTTATTTGTCTAAATGTAGTTTTTTTGTCTAAATAAGTAGTTTTTTCTATGCCAGTACTAAAGTCTCAAATATTTTAAAGGATTGAGGTTCCAAAAACATGGAGAAACTGAAAAGAGGGAATCGATTCTTGAAAAGGGATCAAAATCAAAATAATCAAGTAAAAGAAATTACAATAAATCAATCATAATACTCTAAATCAAACAAATTTTTGAGATATTTACATTTGTGTTGTTCCAAGTCTCACTATATAAGTGCTTCATACAGCATGCCAAAAGCAGTAGGTACAACACAATATGCTTCCTAATGTTTGCGTTCATTGTTCTTTCTCTCATGCAAACTTCATTGACACAACGAAGGGTAGTTTATCAGGTGAAAGGTATAGGAAGATCCAGAAGTGGTAAATAGAAATTGAGGGACACCAAATGAAAAGACTAGGAAACCTTTGCAACGTTGCTTCCAAAGGGCTCTGTGCCACCTTCGGCGCCAAGTCCTGACATTAACTGATCAATCAGATATAGTGTTAAGCCGTGGAGTGCACCCGTTGCATACCGGTGTAGTGTCCATGTGTCTGCATTGTAGGGTGTTACAATATACATGTAACTTATGAAAGTACTCCATTTCAGTGTCAACAAATTCTTTAAATTATTCACATTCGGGGGTTGTTTTACTATTCATTTTGAATACATATAAAGATGTCATTACTCATTAGTCTTTACCCTTATTTATTAACGATAGTAAATGACCAGTGAAACGAAAAATGGATAAAAGATAAATGAATTGATGTCATTTATAGGCCCTTTGCGAAGAGTGCCTTCGTGACAAAGCATTATTCTACCAATAACACTGTCAAATATACAAGAAAAATGACGCAATTTCTATAATCACAGATGCCTTTTTAGCCCAGTAATAATCATATTAGTTTAAAACTCATCTTATTGTACTATAATGCTTAAACATATTTTGTTGATGAATAAGCCATCCCTCTCACACCCTTTTTTGACAGTTTTTTTATCACAATAACTTTGGGCCTCCAGTCCAGGTCAAAGCTTTTAGTTGGGCCTGTTGATCATCCCTTATTGCGCTCGCTAAAAGAGAGAAAAGCTCAGAGGAAAAGAAAGGTTCTGTACTCTGCAATGGTTTAGGGTTGAATATTCGGTTTTGAGAAGCCACTGTGGAATAGCCACGAGAGTAGGAACAATAATGATGATTGGTACACGATGCAAAGTTGTAAAAATGTTTGGCTCTGTTGCAGTGTACTCAACGTCGACGGAAAGCGCGGTCAGTGTGGAGAATCGCGTTTTGAGGATTCTGGACCCTCACACTCCAATGGCTCCTATTCTCAACCAATGGATCGAAGAAGGCAAAGACGTGACCGGACCCGAGCTTAAATGTATCATCACTCGCCTCTCTCGTTTTCGTCGCTTCACCCATGCGCTTCAGGTCCATACAACTTCCAACCTTTCCCTCCTTTTATTACCTTCTTCATAAGATATAATTTAAGCATTGTTCTTTGCTGTTATTCTCTAATTCAAAATAATTGTTCTACCTTTAAATGTTCACCTTTATTATTTAGCTGAAATTTTAATTTTAATTAAAAAAATAGTACAGAAAAATATAGGTTCAAATGTATACTAATTTATAAATTAGTCATGTATTTAAATACCTTGTGTTCCAGTCTTTATATTAGGGTTTTGTTAAGTTTTAACACTTGAGATCATCGTTAAAAAATATTAAAAATGAACAGTAACTTTTACTAACGATGTTCTAATTCAAGAACCAAAACATAAGGAAACAATTATGTAGGGATTAAAATATATATGTTATAAATATAGAGATTAATTCATAAATTACTATCAAACTAAATGTATAATATATAACAAATTTTACTTACGTAATGTCCTTAGTGATATTATGCTTGATCCCCTAAAGTCAAAAGTGATAGAAACACCCCTTTTGCTAGGTATCAGAATGGATGAGCAATGAAAGGAACTATGAAATGACTCCAGGAGACATTGCTAAACGGATAAGCCTTATATCAAAAGTTCGCGGCCTTGAACAAGCTGAGAGTTTTGTTAAAGGTGTACCTGTTGCGAAAATTGGGTTCAAGGTCTATGCTGCTCTTTTGAAATGCTATGCAGATCATAAATCTTTGGAGGAAGCGGAGGCTGTCATGAAAATAGTTAAGGAGTTGCACCCAATGCACTTAGTTGGGTGTTATAATTTGATGTTGAAGCTCTATGCTCAGATGGGTAAATATGATAAATTAGATAGGCTGATGCAAGAAATGAAGGCGAAGGATATCTGCAATGCTCCTACGTTTACTATTCGGTTAAATGCATATGTGGCCGCTGCAGACATAAAGGGGATGGAGAAGTTACTTATGCAAATGGAAGCTGATCCTGTGGCAACTGTGGACTGGTGTACGTACACTACTGCAGCAAATGGGTATCTGAAAATTCACAATTTTGAGAAAGTGACAGCAATGTTAAAGAAATCAGAGCACCTATCTAGAGGCAAGACAGTGAGACAAGCCTGTGAATCTCTTCTATGTATGTATGCTGCAATTGGGAATAAGGACGAGGTTTATCGACTTTGGAGTAGGATGAAAAGTTTTAAATATTCCTATAACTCAAGTTACCTAAGTGTGTTAAGCTCGTTAGTGAAGCTGGATGACATTGATGGGGCAGAGAAGATTTTGGATGAGTGGGAATCCAAGCATACACATTATGATGCCAGAATTCCAAACTTGATGATCAATGTTTATTGTAAATGTGGTCAGTTGGATAAGGCTGAGGCCTATATCAGAAGGCTTTTGGATAGTGGCAAGAAATTAGATGGAAGAGCATGGGACTGTTTAGCCAGTGGCTATCGCACAGATAATGATATGGAGAAAGCCGTTCAGACAATGAAAAAAGCAGTGTTGTCAAATCGACCGAGATGGAGACCTAACCCCTTTACCCTGGTTGCATGTATCGAGTACCAGAAAGGAAAGGGGGACTTGGAATTAGCCCTTGAGATTCTTGATTTATGCAAAGAAAACGGCCATATCTCAGTCACTTCCTATGATCGACTAGTAAGTTATATTCGTAGTGAAATGCCGGATACAAAACCCCTTGATCTTATTAAAGAAGATTATCAAATGGATGGAAACCCTCAACTTGTCAGAGAAAAATGGTTCAATGTGATAGATGGGTAGAATTGAATTATCTGTAGAGGATATCTTAAGTTTTTTCCAAGAATGAGTGAATTATCTAGCCATAGCAATAGCTCTGATTTCTTTTCCTTGCATCGTTTCTAGAGACCCAGTTGCAATTCTCATCAATTATGTTCAAGTGATTGTGGTGGCGCCCTAATTTATTCATTGTCATATTTGTTACCATATAATCAATTTAGTGATGAAAAATTTATAATCTAATTCTTAATGTGACAAATAATAAACAAATGCTATAGAAAGATTAGATGTTAAAATTTATGAAATGGTAGGGATAAATGAATCCATGACTAAGTTCTTCCTCGCCAATGAAAGAAAATCCAAAAACAGAGAGAATTTTTCTTATCACTCTTTAAGATGTTTTCTATATGTTGTTTAGGCAACAATTACTCTCAAGTAAATATGAGTAGGAGTGGCTTACTCATTATGACTTAGCAAGATAATAATAATCATAAAATTATATTTACTAATTATAATAACAAACATGGATCAATAATTTAGTATTTAGCTAATCTGAGATTAAATTAAAATTATAATAAAAATTAATTTATATCAGTTTGTACATAAAATATATAATATTTAAATTATATATCATGTTAAATAACATACGTTTTGTTTAAACTTATCATAGGATTATAAGTATTAGCTTGTAGGATGATTGATCTCTATTATTAAAGACTAACTCTATTTCTCTTAATTTATCTATCTGATACTTTTTTACTTTTCTTTCATCAAACTTTTTCTATGTAACTCTCTTGAAAAATATTAAGAACTAATTAAGATGTTGAATTATTTACAAGTAAAAATATAATATAAGAGTAGTTAATTTTAGTTCTTAAATACAAGGATAAGCAATTAATAATAATAAAATTTTGTTAAAAAATATTATTTATTATATTTTTATAACTTTAATATAATAATTATGTATTTTTTTATAAAAAAATTATTTATTGATATTTAATCTAAGTTCTATGAGTTAAAGTTAACAAAATCTATAATATAATTATCTTTTTAGGCCTAAATTTTGGTAGCCTCGGGAAAGAGCTTCTTCACTCAAATGCTATAAATGTCTGCGTTTAAGTAGTAAAGAGTTTAATTTTTTATAGTAAACCGTTGGATTTGAATTCGGAAAAAGTAGGTGTTGAGAGGGCTCTATTCTTAAAATGAATTCACCAAGCTCAATTTAGGGCCTATTTGTAAAATTTAAGGAATCGATTCTTTAAATCGATAATTTATTGCTGTCATTTAACTTTTGTTAATAACCAAGCATAACTTTACTGTTAATTTTTGTCACAGAATCTACTATGATTTGGGAAAATGAGAAAACAAACAAGTACTTAGATTAATTGGGGCTAAAAATAATTTACAAATATCAAGAGTCTTAGATTAAAAATTATGGACTCATATTTATGGGAAATATTTCAAAATTAGTACCCATTAGCATAATGTCAATCTTATGAGAAATTCAAAAGAAACGACCAAGAAAGTTAGAATATGGAGCTGGTCCCTTCACCGACAATAGTTATCATCATTATATTTAATCGGTCATCTTTTATAGTTACATATTTAGTCGGCCATCTGTTGTATCCGTATGACAAATTAAGGTTGTGGAATATTAGACGTGGCCTTTTCAAAATGTTAAAATCATTTTTGTTATTATGTCACTGTCATCTTTTATTAAATGCGTTTAGAAGGCAAGCCTATTGGTTGCATTAAATTATTGGGTTGGATGCTTCATTCAATTATATTTTTATGAGCTACCCCTATTGGGGATTCAAATCAGAGGGAGATATCAATGAAAAAAAATCATATTAGAAATGAATGGACAAACCGAGGAGTTCATAAGTAGAAAAGACCTATAAATAGTTGTCAAGAAGTTTTAGGCACAATATTATATCTTTGACTAAAACCAAAAAAATGAAAACAATATTACAACTTGCAAGATAAATTTAGATGATTATAATTGACTTTTTTTTATGAAAAATAATTTAAATTAATTTTTGTATACATTTGATTTGATTTGTATATTAATATTAAAGTTGATTTTAATTGACTTTTATATGATTTAAATTAAGACATTTATTTAAAAAAATTTATTTTAGTATATATACGTAATATTGAAAAAAAATTTATGTAAAAATCCTAAGAAAAAAAGACACAATATTGTATAGTTCTTATAACGCATCCAATATAGTTTTTTTTAAAAAAAAATTAGAATCCAATTGTTTGAGGCTCTTTTTCAGATAAAAAGTATATTTACAAAATAACACTTTAATATGCTTGTTTTTTAAAAAACAAAAACATCAAATGAAGTTGTTTAGTGCTTTCCTAACAATGACATCATTCAAACCCATTTTTATTTTTTTGAGTCAACCGTCATTCAAACAGTTTCTCCTCTTCTGTGTTCTTTGTTTTCAGAATTTACGTTGACTATATATCATTCAATCTAAACATCTCACTTTCTCTGAAATGAATTCGGATTCTTCAAACAACGGCCCCATTACCTTGTCATGTTATGTTATCATTCATTTAACCCAATTCATAAAACCGTATAACTTAGACTCTACATTCATTTTTTCTGCTTTGGACGCTTTTTGAGGATGGGATAGTAATTGTGCTCATTCCTATTATTTCATACTACTAACCAAAAATTGGGACATTCACCATTGGGAAAACATTTTTTTTTAACATTAAAATGCAATAACATTTTGTTATACATCTTTTGATTTTGGAGTACATTTTTAATATGTGTCTATACCAAAAAATAATATATAAGTAATAGATAAAATTAATTTTGTATAATTTTATATATCATGTTAATTTTTTATGTTCAAATTTGAAATTGTTGACTGTGATATTACCAAAAAAATACACCGGCTAATGGTTACAATATTATATATTGTGTTTACTTCTAATATTTATCTGATATAAAATATTTTCAAAGGCCAAGGAACCTTGACCTTATCTATCAATACAGCTTTACTTGAAATTTCATATCCTTCGTCAAGCATCTAGCAAAGATATAATTAACTGCCATTCAAAAACAGGTGAACAAAGTCAACATTTACCTATACCAATAAAAAAAAAGTCATGGTTTATACGATGCCTTCATGAACAATGTGTAGAACATGAATATCTAGATAATAAATACTAAAACTAGCATGTACAATGTTTATTTTATATCCATATGATTATCGGTTTACCATGTCATGTTGGACTTCAAAGACGAAAAATCGATGGTCTGATTTGAAATATTATATTAGAGACCCTAACCCATGTTTAGTGTGGTAGAGAAATACATAATTGGGAATCATAAGAAGAAAGTTGTGGAAGAAATTAAAGAATCTCTTTTTTGACCCACCATATGGAGTATTGAAGGCTTGTTTAATTCTGTCCACATGTTTAAAATAAATTAGGCTGAGATCTTTATTAATCAATTTTCCAAAGCACTCAATCAAATTTCATTTTTTCACATCTCTTTCTTATATAATTTTTTAAATTTTTTATTTTTTCTTTCTCATACTCATCTCACGCCTCATGAAGAAATGTCTGACAATTATTTTTAACGATCAATATATAATCTACGTAGATGTACTTAAGATATTGCCTCTCTCTTTCTTCCAATGATTTTTACTTATTTAGACTTTGATCCTTAAATATTTTTTTGTTATACAATCATCACTATATTTTTACTTAATGAGTTTTGGTGCATGCTGACGATGTATCAATCTCTCTCTTTTTTTTCTTTTATCTCTGTAAATGTCATTTATTAAGGCATTTTTCTTAAAAATTTTACTTACTTCATCAATTCCTTAGAAACAAATATCTTATTTAAATCTTATTATACGGTGCTTGATTAAAAATAGGAAAAGTTGTTAAATTCAAATATTACTTTTAAAAGATTGATATTTATTTGATCATAAAAAGATAATAACAGAAACTCAAATATGTAGCCCATTAAACATAAAAGTCTATCTTTCTTTATTCAATATTTTCTTAAACTTTTTTGTACTTGTAAGGCATAAAAATTTAACTCACATCTATTATTAGTACAGTCGTTGCATTAAAATATAAGTATAATATGTTTTGTCAATTAATTTCGCTGATTAATATTCCTGTCGGTTATAAGTTTCAGTTTATGCATATCTTGCTTTATTATATATGCATAAGAGAACACAGATCTAGAAACTAGCACAAAAAGATGAGATGGAAATGTTTTAAACCACTTAAATATAGTGTAGGGTACCAAGTTTTTTAAATTCTGAACCCTCAATTTGAGCAAAAGTAGTTCAACCATATAGGATATAGGGAAAACTTGTTAATCAGTATAATGCTATTTCAACAACAGCCAATGACACAATAATTAAGAAATATTAAGTATCAATAATCAATTAAGTGCACGTGAGTTGATAAGAAAAATGTTTCTATGACGTGCATAACTTAAAGTCAAATTAATGATGGGGAATGGTTTATTGTTATTTTCTTTATATGGTTCAAGAGTCAATTATTTCTATAAAATTGTCGCCTTTAATAAAGAAATATAATATTATATTGGACAACAATAGTTCAATGAACACGAAACCATTTCAAAAGGAAAATTAATTAATTACAAACTAAACAGTATATAGAAATTGAAATATGTAATCCCGTTTTTAACCTCGTTCTTATCCTCTCAATTAAAATATTAATCTCAATAAAGACATTGAGACAGGTGATTTGTTTGCTAACGAAAATGATTAGTTGATGCTGCGTCAGACAGTAAATTAGTATAAGAAAGCTTCAATTTGAAGATGGCCACAAATCGCCCTTTAATTATTATTGAATCATGTTGATGTTTCATAAGGGTTTATAAGAAGGAAAAGAAAAGAACAGAAAAAGATGTATGTGCACATACCTTATACATGTGGCTTCCCATATGATGGTGATGGCAGGTAATCGTCATCTATCATCCACAATCAAACTTGTGATATACAGCTTAGAAACTAAAGTTTGAAAAACATATTGCATTAATGTAATTACCCTTTTTTAATAAATAATTTTTAACATATTATTCAAGATATATAATAATAATAAGTTGTAAATTTATTAAAAAATATATTATTAATAGATTAAACTCATAATTTTAAACAAAAATTTGTTTTATAAATTGTACCCTGTGCCTTTAAACATAAGTGCAAAAACAGTTCAACAAAAGCTATGTCTCCCACTGAGTTCTAAAGCTTTCTAGAATAGAGTTTACGTGAAAAATTCTCTGTCTATTGTGCTCTCCAATTTCATCGTTTAAGCTAAGGATGAATGTGACTGCTCTTTGACTCTTTCTGTTACTTAGAAGTTATTCTTCAATCACTTCGATCAATAGTTAGGCCAATAAATCACTTTCATTTAATAAAAGTAGTAAAAAACAACTTTTTTGATGTTTTCCTATTTTGTTCTTATGCCCAACATTCATCATGTTTTTAAGGACTAAGATTGGGAAGGCAATGTCTTTGCGTTTGGGTTTGGGAACTTCCTATTCTCAGCTTCATTCAATTTTTCTTGCTGTTCAAGTGTTGATGATTCAACTCATTTGGTGTCTTCTATATACCTTTTTCTTTCTTTCATGTTTTGTTTATTAAATAAAAAATTATTTTAAAATGCATTGTTATTCTAATTGGTTAAAGTTTTTTGAGGTTCAATTGTCTTGAATTTTAATAGAACTAATTTTAAGAAAATTTATGATAAAAACATAATTTGTATTGAGAAAATATATTTTAAATGAATTTATAAAAAATATTTTCGTTTGACTAATGAAATAAAATTATTTTTAAAGTGTAAATATATGCAATCAATTATACTCATTAAAAATGAAAAAAAAATCTTAAAACCAGTTTTACATACTACTAAATTGATTTTGACAATCAAGAAAATTTACCAAACACACAAAGATACTGTTGCACAACTCGGTTTAAAAGTATGGAAACGTGACTTTCATTTGCAACCAACTTAGCGTTAAAGACCGGAAACCTGATTTTCATTTGCAACGAAACAAGGTAGAGGGTTGTGTAGCCAAAAGAAACAAGATAAAGGTGTTTGAAAAACCTTATTTCATCTTATGAATTTCTTATAAATTCTTTTTTAAATTTAATTGCAATGCATTTTATACTATTATTCAATCATAGATTACCATATAATTAAAAAAAGATTAAAAAAAACATGTCTAAGATAATTTTTAATTGGTCAAAATCAAACCCTTCTTTTAATTTATTTTAAAAATTTATAATTAAGTTTATAAAAAACTTCTCATTTAATAATAATAACTTATTAAATGAATATTTAATAAAACTATTTAAATATCATTTTGAGAATCATTAAATATATAGATTAATTGATAAAAAAATCATTTCCTTTCCATGTGATCTCGACTTTGATTGAATAAATACAATCATACTAAGTGAAGAATGTTTTTAGTTTAGACCAAAAAAATCATTTCAATAAGTTTTTCTCAAAAAATGAATAGTAATTAACACTACAATATGCAGTTAGGAAATAAAATTACCACAAAATTCATTTCATATCTCATTGAAAATATTTTTCCATTTCTTTTATAGAAAATTATTTTTTGGACAAAGTAATGGGACATTTGACTCTTTCGACACTGAACACACTCGAATCTGCCTTTACTCATAAGCAAAGCCATCCAAGTACTAAATTAAATTATATACCTTTCTTCATCTTCTACCATACAGAACTTCTAGACTATATATACGATAGCCAAAATTAAATATAACAAGTTGATAATAAATGCAAACTTATTAAAACGTCTATTTCATGTAACTTCTCTCAAATATGAGACAGGTAACATTACTAATTACAAATATCTCATCACTGGACAGCTCTAAAAGATATGATCCAACTGGCATAGCCTGCATCCTGCTTGTATTCTATACACTGATGCGTTGAACAAAAATTATGGCGTAGAAATCAAAATAAGAGAAGACACAAAACTATGCAACACAGAAGGAAGAAACAGATTCTACTGAGTGACCTATCAACTTGCATTAAATGCCTCCTGATCCTTGGATTACTGCTCCCTGAAAGATCATATGAATTTGGGTATGTGTATATGTTAGTCATCTGGTTTCCAAAGACTCTTGCATATATCATCTCACCAAAGACTCCATATGTTGTATCAAATGCGTTTGTCAGTGAACCTCCTGTGTTGAACATGGATGAAGTGTAACTGCCTGGAACTGAGTTGAATTGTTGAGGTTGATGGCGATAATGGTGATGATAAAGTTGAGAAGTAGGTTGGGAAATGGTAGCAGAATCAAGTGACCTTGCTGAGTTAGCCACCCATGAAGGACCAGATGGTCTTCGCGGTACGACGATCCCAACTTGGTGACCCTTGCCCTCAGAAGATACCGAGGTTTGGCCGCGGCCATATAGTGGAACAAGGGATGACTGAGATATTTCTGATTTGCATACTGGACATTGTTGGTTCTGCTTCTCTTCATTTTCAGACGAGATGCTATGGGAATTGAGCCATTTGTAAATGCAGGGCCAGCAGTAGAGATGGCCACAAAGAGTGACCACTGGATCTTGCACACACTCGAGGCATATGTTGCAATCAAAGCCGCTAGCATTTCTATCAGAATCTGCAGCATCATCACTGGAACATTGCCACATTTCCAGAGACGATTTATCTTTGAAGGAATTTATTTGGGGCACAGCCTCCTCAAGATACTGATCTAAGGCCATTTCTCTTTTGTCTTACAATGAGTTCTCTGAAGAGTGCCTGAATCTGAAAGGCAAAAACATACATTAAGAAAAGTGAGCGCTTGCTAATAGACAATGCTCGATAAATGAATTTTTGTCGATATTGTAAAAGCTAAAAGGTTTTAACATCAGAATACAAATTATTGAAATTAATAAGAGAAAAACATTATCAGAACTTAAGTTATAAAAAGACAAAATTACATTCAGAACAACATATTCATGTTTTATTATAAAATTCCATAGAACGCTATAAAATCAATATGAATTTTGGCATCTTTAATTCTCTATCTCTCACTAATCCTTTTGAAGGAAATTACAACCCCTCTAGCAATTTTCCCAGGGTGAGTTTGGATATATAACTCAATTAAGTGCTTATTCAATAAGTTCTTTTCGTATGGTGCCATGTGCTATAAATTTAACAATGAAACTTATTGAAATAAGTTAAAATCAACTTATTTGATAAACTATACTAAGAAGTTTATTGAAATAAGTTAAAAAAAACTTATGAGAGTCATAAATTATTTTCATAAGCTCTTCCAAACTTGCCCTAAGAGAGCACAACCAGTTTTGGTAGGTGAAAATCAGCTGACCTATTCAATTTTCCAGTTGTGATAACACAAACATCATGTGATTCACTCTTGTCAAATAATTAATCTTGCTCTGAAGAAGAGTACCACCTAACAAAGATGTTTAATTTCTTCAGAACAGTTATAAATAACCCCACAGTTTTAATCTCCTTTGTAAAGAAAACAAAGATTCCAAATACAGGCTTAAGTACATGAGGATCTGCAACTGCAACCACTTAGTCTTCTTGTCATTAATAGCACAAAAATAAACAACAAAAAGAAGACAGTTGAGAATTTAAATATGCTATTCAGCCAGCCCTATTCCATCTTTATTTGACATCCAGGACTCATTTTACTCACCTAACGCCTTAACTAAATCAGAAAACTATTTTCGAGGAGGAATCTAACAATAGAAGGAGTAGCCAACCCAATGCAATGTTCATATATTAACAACCAAAATTAAAAGAAAAATATTAATATCATCCCTTAATACTGAGTTTAAACACCTAAAAATAATAAAATTTTATTAAAGAAAAGGCACATATTATACTTTTACATCTTCAATGTAAAGTTTACCATTTTTGGATACTTAAAATTAGTCCAAAGAGGGTTTAAAATAAATAATAATTGTCTACCCCAAAAAAATAACTGATAATTAAATTAAAACTAATGTTCCTTAAGGGAGAAATTTATGAGGGGGAGAGAAGGGGTTCTTCCAATTGAGAACCAAGACTCTACGCAGAAGAACATGAACAATCTCAGTGATGTTTCTCTGAACTTGTATAGAGAGGGAGGAAAAACAAATTCTAACGTATGAATCATTGACTAAATCAATCTTGTGGGATATTTTAGAGATTCCAACGGCGATTAAATTTCTCCCCCATAAAAGAGATTGAATCTCTAACGAACCGTGGAACCTGTACTAAAAAACATAGACCAAAGTGCACTCAACTGAAACAATATAAGTAACAATCAAACTTAATGAGTTGAGAAATTTTAACATCGTGAGAGAGAGAGAGGGGGGGGGGGGGAGAGAGGAACGGTTGCCAAAATCTACCATATTGGGCACAAAAAAAAAAAAAAAAACAATAGCATAAACATTCAAGGTAAAAAAAGAAAGAGAAAAAATTAAGGGTTTAAAATTCCATGAATTTGAATAAGAAAGGGTCAGAAAAGTGAATACAAGGTTTCAACCCTTTCAACATAAACCTCTGAAAACCTCCTTAAACGATACAGAAACCTTGTTCAGATGATGTGCCCTCAAACAAACCACGATTGAACATATCAGGCAAAGGCACCAACACGTATTGTAAAACATGAAGAAATCCCAAAACAGAGGATCGAGGAAAAAACAAGGCTTCCTTTGACAATATAGAAAAAAGAAACACTTTTTATTGAAGATTTCAACACCCAGATGAACCCAGAAGCCAATTGCATGCCCCCCATGAGAGTGGCATAGAGAGAGAAGGGAGAGAGAGAGAGAGAGGTATGTGAATACTTACAGAAGAAAACTGGAGAAGGGAAAGAGTTGGTAGTTGAAGGGTATAGTGTAGCAAAGTGGAAGCTGTGAAAACCTTGGAATGTGAATGAAATGGAAGGAAGAAAGAGAATGTGATTTTATTTTTTATAGAGTAACAAAGTAAGGGAAACTTCAGCAGTTGCTTCCATCAAGCTTCCACCACTGGTACGGATAATAAATTAATATCATTTAAAGAAAAAAAATAAAAAAAACTTGCCCAACGTGGCGCCACACGCCACGGTTTTGCCCACTGGAAGCCAACTTCTCAGGTGCCTAATCTGATCTTGGATTTTTTGTTCATATTAACAAATGCTATGTATATATTCCTTTTTGAGGAGAAATAAACCCATATATCGTATGTATTTATTTATACTAGTCACAGAGGTGGTTTAAATTTCATCATCACTTACTGCTATACTTACTACATTAATATATAAGTTGAAGTTTTGCGATTTCGACAGAAAAAAAGAAAAAAGAAAGGGCTGAGTGTTACTTAATACTACATTAGTGCTATAAGAAGATTATTAGGAATATTTTTTAATATATTTATATTATTAATAAACATTTTATTAATAATAATTATTCATATTTCTAAAATTAAGTTTTAATAATAAAAAATAATAGTAGTCTAAATATTAAGGAGTTGTTTGAGAATGAAAGTTTTGGAAAAGGGAAAAAGAAAGAGTAAAACTTATATTTAAAATTAATATTTTAAAAAATTAAAAATATAAATTAATATATTAATAATATATTTATCATCATAAATAATATAAAATTTAAAATTTAAAAATATATTCTCCTCTCTTTCCTTTGAAAAATCTCTTCTTAAATATATTCTAAATTACTCTTTATATTGAGTTAGTGGTCTAATGTTATAAACAGATGATGAAAAAAAATAATTACTAAAGAAATCATATAAGAATAAATAAATGAAAGATTTATTTTAGAAAATGAGAAACCAAATAAAAAAATTATCATTTTTTAAGAATTAAAAATTTATTTAAACCATTAAAATATGGCACTCATTTATCTTTTGGAGGATAAAATTATACAGTTAAAAATAAAAAAATATTATATTTTAAGCATTTTTCAAAAATTAATTTACTCTACTTTTCTATATATAGGTCTAGTTGTAGTTGTAAATTTAAATACCTTTAATGAATACACAAAAAGCTTATAATAATTTGACAGTGTATATTTGATAATTAAAAAAAAGAATTTATATTTATGGTGCATGACATAAAGGAAAATATCCAGATTTGTCATGTGATTATTTAAAAAGTAAAATAAATAATGATTTGATAAAAAGAATAAATGATGAAAATATAAGTATTTTCAATTAATAAGTGACTCTTTAAGATGAATTTTGTATGGGATGAGATCCCATCCGTGAATCATTCACGGCTAAAATCATGACCATTAAATATTTAATTTATTGAAAAAATGAACGGTTAGTTAGTTGAAGTACTGCATGTAAATCTTCACTTGATAAAATCCATGCCCACAGTATATTGCTGCACTGTACAGACGCACGCAGAAGAAGAAAAGTGACATCCCCTGTTTACATCTCAAAATAAATACATATTTAGGGGCTTTTAATATTCGAAGCATTACCCAATATTTTTAACATTTAAATTTTTTTTAAACAATAAATAAATTACATTTATTTGAAAAAACTAGAAAAAATATGCATCATGTTTTATTATCAAAATATACATAAAATGCCCTGAAGTTGTTACGCTTTAACATTTCAAAGCTCTTTTAGCTTCAATCTTGCAAGTTGTAGTGATAATAGCATTTGAATAAGCACATACGAGACAATTTATTAAACGAGAGTGCATGATTTTAAATGATGCCTTATACTTTATTCTTTTCCCCAATGATCATTTATATTTAAATTTTAAATTAAAAATTAATAGATATATTGATTACTGTTATTATTATTAAACAAATATGTTTATTAACTAATAAAAAATTATTCTGACTTAACTTGTGATTTAAAGTCATAATAAATATAACCGTGTTAAATATTTAAAGAATAAATCTTATAATTGATTTACATAACTGTGTTAAAAAGAATTATAATTAATTTATGTGCTTAATTAAAATGATTGGTTAATTATAATTTTTTTTAAAATAAATAAATACATTCATATTTTTTTGTTTAATGACAAAATCATTATTATGAATACTCCCTTTTAAATAAATAATGTCTTTGCACGACACCACTTTCTCTTTATGGAGCAAAATTTATATAATCCATGACAAATTCAATAATAGCCAATTTCATAATTACATAGATTAAAATTACCAATTTTAATATTTTGAAAGACTTTCTTTTTTCATTATTATAAGAATTAAATCAACAAATACCTAAAATTTTAGGGAATAACATGGTATATAACTTATACCTTTTCTTACTATTTCACTCAATTAACCCATTTTTATTCATAAATAACATTTTAGTTACAATTTTGATATTATTGATTTACATCATACATAATTTCGATCTCCAAATATTTTTAATCAATTGAATATTTCTATTTTAAAATATATTGACCATTTTATAATACAAAGTTACTCAAATTTTCTCAAAATTTTTACCAATGAAATTAACTAAATTGTTTTACAATTTCTGTTGAACCAAAATCGTCAACTAAAATATTAGTTCTTATTAAACGATAAAACTAAAAACCTCATATTTAACGTTAATTTCACACTCTTCAAAATTTTTTAAATTTTATCAAAGATTTTGTATTTTTTTTATTTATATACTTTTAAAATTATTTTATATCTCAATTTTATTATAGGATTTAATATTTAGATGGAAAATACAAATTTGATTATGCTAAATAGAATAAAAAATGATGGAGGGTGTAAATTTGTTTGGTTTTAAAAAAAGGGTTTTAATTACCTAAAATTTTATAGAAATTAAAACTACGTATTTTATAAATTAAGAGGCTAAAAATGCAATTAAATATAATAAAATTACTTATTTTTGCTCTCCCCTTCTTAATTATGCACATGTAATTCTTATTTGGTTTGGAAAAAAGGACATTATTCTATATTTTGATTGTAGGAACTTGATTTTAAAATAAAATTTATTTATTTAAATATATTGATAAATTTGTCTTTTATTTTGCAAAACACTATTGTCAGATTAAATTAAACTGTATGTATTACGTATACAACCATTTAAATTGAGGTATATATAGTAATTTTAAATCTTAATATCTATATCTATTTATCTATATGTGCATGACAAGACGATAATTTGTAAAAATTAATGAAAATTATTAAATAATAATATAATTATATTTTGAGAGTGTTTCTTGTTATATCAAAAGCTAAATTTAAGTTTGAAGTATTCCCTTTTATATATAATTAAGTTGATATGCTTTTATTTTAGTAAAGTAATTTAATTTGATTTTTAAATTTATTTTTATTATCTAATTTAAAAATATTCCACATGAATGAAAGTTTATTTAAATATTTATTCATATAAAAATATTGGTATTACGACAGATGAAAACCTTTTTCAGCTCAGGATAAACAGTTTAAATAGAAAGTATTAGTATTTATATTATAAAATTATATAAATTTTGTAAAATAATATAAATTAATATCTCTTTATAGTTTTAAACATTTGCGCAAATTTTGTAAATTTTAAATAATCTATATAAGTTAGTATGTCTTGGATTATTTTCTTTTTATGTAAGAATTAGTATTGATATTGATGTTTAATTCACGAAAGTGAATATTCCACTCCAAATTATCTCTGTCTCGTTAAAATGGCCAGAACGTATTCTAGAACATTTCGTATGATGGAAGTTTACATGAAAAAAGTGTTATAAAAAAGGTTTATATATATATATAAACATTGACATCTAAATATCGATATTACGAAAGATGAAAGCCTTTTCTTAAGCCACGTGGATGAACAGTTTAAACAGAAACGTATTAGCATTTAAATTATAAAATAATATAAATTAATATATCCTTTTAGTATTAAATATTTACACATAAATTGTAAATGAAATACATTAATATTTAGACAATGTACGTAAATTTATACGTCTTGTTTAAATGAAATATTTATATAAAAAATATTTTGAAGTATAATTTACCAAAGTGAGTATTATATTAAGAATGATATCTGCCTCGTACGATAAAACGGTATGAATGTATTTTAGCGATATCTATACCGAGTTATTTGAACTTTTTAATGAATAATAAGTTATACAATGGATAATAATAAAATAAATTACCAAATCAAATCAAAATTAAATGTGATGTTACATATATATATATATATATTAAATGAGAATAACAATTATAAAATTTAAAATGTAAATTAAGATTATTAATATTTTATCTACTTAATAACCAGACAGTCGTCCATCATTTGTGGCACTAAACTAGTCTACTGAAAGATTGAGTTCCTCTGAAGTAAAAAAAATGTAGTAAAAGAATAAAATTCTATCTATCGTTAAATCTAAATTAATTATTTTTATAAAATATTTTAATTCAAATTGACAGTAAATAAAACTATTATTTACACTTTTATATATTTTTTCTCGCTTTAAATGGGTGAAATCCACTAGTGAAATGACGTGAACCAAACGGAGAGGCCGTGCAAAGTATGCTCCAGGGTAGCCTTGAAGTGGATGACGTGCACCAAACTCTTCTATTTTCAGCCATTAAATTAGATCAAAACTCAAAAGATGGTATGAATCCGAAGGTCAATTTCTGAGAAATAATTTATGACGCGTGCAGCATTTGTGTCACATCTGCATCCACCACTCAAATCGGAGCAATATACGTGGGATGACTCATTTTTATTTTCGTTTGATACCTTCAGCATATGGATCATCATTCATTGAATTTTGCTTATCAAAGCCAATGTTAGTTAATCTAGATCCTCACTTTATTCTTTAAAGTTTTTTAATTCTAACATTTTAATCTCTAAAATATTTAAAATATTATATTAATTTTTAATTTTTTTTTTATCATTTATTATAGTTTCTAATATTAGACTTTGTTAAGAAAACTTTAATAAAAATCTTAGTTGTTATGTTAAGTATTACGTCAAAATTTTATTTGATAAAAATGATAATATTTTTAAAAGTTCACGTGATATTTTTAATTATAGAATGGTGTTGTTATGTTTGATATTTTTTTGTCCAAACTTAATAATATATTTTCTCATTTGTGTAAAAAAAAAATCACACACTAAGTACACGCAGAATTTCGCTTAAATTTTTGTTTATAGTTATATTTAGAGGTGAAATATTTAAAGATTGA